GGGGGTCCCCCCCCTCCTTTGTTTTTGGCCCCCCTTTCTTTTGGTTTCCCCGCGGTAAGGGAAAAGGGGAAATCCCCCAAAAATTTCCCAAGCCTTTTCCCCCCCCCCCCCCCCCCCCCCCCCCTGTCGTCTCGTTCCCCTATCATATGTCTTGCTTGAATAGGGGGAAACGCTGCCCAAAATTTTCCTAGTCTCGTTCCCCCTGTCGTCTCGTTCTCGTTCCCCCTATCGTCTGTCTTGTTCCCCCTATCGTCCGTCTCGTTCCCCTATTGTGTCAAATAGGGGGAAACACTGCCAAAATTTTAGCCTCGTTCCCCCTGTCCTCTCGTTCCCCCTGTCCTCTCGTTCCCTCTGTCGCCTCGTTCCCCCTGTCGTCTCGTTCGTTGCACTCACACCATCAATATCTTAGATGTAGATAGGGGAAAAGGCTGCGGATTACTTTTAATTAGATGCTCATTTCATGCATTCATGTCACTACTCATTCCGTCTGCCTGCTAATCTCATTATACACACATCATCATGCCGGTCAACCAGGCCGTATGAAGCGTAGGCAGAGGGAGTGGCTGGCCAGGAAACCTCGTGAGTCTCTACCTTTCTAGTAAACACCCGTGCTTATGGGTCAGGCATCATTGTATCTTCTGCCCCAAAAGAGCTGGCCCACTACTATGATAAGAGAGCGGTTCCTCATAATCCTCGGCCTGTGAATAAGAAGAAAAAACCTTGCCGGATTGAAAAGAAAGTGAAAGAGGTTTTGGCAAGGTTTGACCTCCCTCCTCCCACACTTGTTGAAACCAAAGATGTGAGTTGTCCCTGTTTCCAATTACTTCCAGTGCTGACCATAGTTCCCGGTGGCTATCCCATGCACCCTTCCAGATGCCGGGAAAACCCGTCCAGAGTTCTGGGTCATTGCTTTCCGTGCCAACACAGAAGGTGATAATAGGCAAGTGTTGGAAGCTTGGAAAGTGGTTAAAGACGTGAGTTTATCAATAATAGTACAGATGGAGCTGACTCAAAGTCGGGCATCAAACCGGCTTGCCGTCCCAGTGGTCGATCCAAAGCTGAGGATGACCCTTTTCATCCTGGGATATGGCTACCGTCAACACAACATGACATTCCATTCCTCTCGGTAGATGGTCGGCACGCTGAACTGCAAGCTTTCATGAAGGTGTTTGGTAAAGTTACAAAAGGGGCACCTTCCAAGCTGCTTAGAGTTCATGATCTGAACACCCAGAAGCGGATGGGATTGTGAGTGTGCTCTGTTTACCCAGTACTTGCTCACTCCTCAGAGCATCTTTTGCTTCTCCTTACCTTGCAAACACCATGGATCATGTTCCGACAGATGATCATTCGACCATGCGCCTTGGTAAACTTGGAGCTGCTTTGGCTGTCAATGAGGGACAGAGCGAAGGTTGGCATTTTGATCGTAATGATGATGACTCAACATATTCGGTGGTGTCTGTGTTTGGTGAAGGTGGGTGGGACAGTACTGAGCGTCAAGGATGGCTTGTGATACCTCAATTGAACATGGAGTTTGAGCTGTCAGTTGGTATGTTGACTACCCTCCCCGTCTACAAGGCTGACACCTCAGGTACAGTTTTGTTCTTCCAGGCGTCACATCTCGCCCACTATGTACGTCCGCTCAACAAAGATGACAAAGGAAAGAGGTTGGTGGTCACCACCTTCACTTGTGCGGAGATGAGTGAGTATTATGACAAGCACTTGCCACCAGACTTGGAACCGGGAGAAATCTTTGAGCGTGCCAAAGATGAGGAGAGTGAGTAGGTAATAGTTAGTGATAAGTCAGATCAGAGTATGCAACACAATGAGCCTCTGCATCTCACAAGTCTACGGAATCACCCTTTTCACACCAATCAAGTGGTGTCGGTGCCCGACGCGTTCATAGCACCAACCAAGGTGCCTGCTCCAGCCCCAGTAGTTCCAGATGGGCCTGCTTCCGCTACACCTTCTTCTTCCAACAGCTGCACATTGGACCGGCGAGTGGAACGGCGAGCACACTTGGGAGAAGGTGTCCCAGGGGTTGCCGGTGTCGAAGATCTGGGAGCAGCACGGGCTTGGAGCTGGATGTTGTGCAGCATGACCGTCAAGATACCGGTCTCATCACGGCCGTAAATCTCTCCACGGACCATGACTGTCTGTCCGGAAGTTGGAAGAGGAAGACGTGCCCAACGTGGGGTGTTAGGGATCCAGACCTTGAAGCGGAACACATTCTGCTGACCATTCTGAAACCATGAGCACCAAACCGGATTGAGGATCGATCAAGCGGACAAGACCACGCCATAGATGCTACCTCCCAAAATGAAGATGCGGTTCACACAGTCGGTCTCAACAACACCAGTCGAGATCACCATGACAGGGCGGCCCGAAGGCACCTTAGTCATAAAGGAAGAATCTGTATTGTCAGACCGGATCTCACGCCACATACACTCACCATCCAGGTTGGCCCATGGAAACGTCTCAATTGAGGTCGCAAAGATCTGCATGGGCTGATCCTTTGATCCGCTATGGGCCATCGAGCCCCAGAACGCCACCACCTCATCAACGACAGGCGGAGTGTTGGTGAAGGCGTGGGTGTGTACCATGACATCATGGATGCTGGTGGGGAAGCTCAGCACTGACGAGAACAGGTGCTGGCGAGGCTTGTCACTAGCGGCTACGGTGTCATCGGTGATGAGGAGCGCCGCATAGACATAGCAGGAGGAGTTGGGAGTGGCGGTGACCATGATACGAGTTCACTGGATAGTAGTCAAGTAAGGAAACAATGTGGGTGGAAAAAACTCACATTGGAGCCTGTCTTTATGTGATTTGTCAAATCAAAGACGGAGACATGTCTTCCCCTTTGAACACCGTACTTACCCCATCCGGCTTTCTCAATATCAAGAGGGATGGATGCTGAGACACTTCATCATGTGCCCCTGACGGACAACCTCAGTAGGACCCGGTGAGACTTGACCCAAAGACCTCTTTGTAGACAACATTGGGGCTGACACCATGGTGTCCCTCAGGGAGTAACACCTTTACCGAATCCGGACGTGTTGCGCGGGAGAGCCCCACATAAAGCTGGCCGTGTGAGAAGACGGGCTGTGTGAGATCAAGTCCAGCATGATTGAGGGATTGACCTTGAGCTTTGTTGATGGACATTGCAAATGCAAGCCAGATGGGGAACTGTACTCGGCGTATGGAAAACGGGAACTCTGAAGAAGGTGTGGTTGTAAGCCGGATCCGGGGAAGCAAGAAATGCTGACCGTGATAAGAGCCTGTGATTATCCTGCAGCCCAGCACCCTCTGGCTGACACTGGTGATGATAAGTCTGGTACCATTGCACAGCCCCTGGGTGAGATCCAGATTCCGAAGAAGGATGGCTGGGCAGCCAATTTTAAGGTTCAACCGGTGGGGTGGGAAGCCCTGAGGTGTGAGGCCGTTCAGCCACTCAAGTGGCAATTCAGCAGGAGATTCGTCTTGAAGGAGTGCAACATCGGCTGACATCAATGGGTGTATTGCTCCGGGCGTGATATCCATAGCCAATGTATTGAGCTGGTCCACGGAGCTGTTGTGAGGAGCCAGAAGGATCCGGTCGGAGAAATAGCTCATACAAGCTTGGCCGTCATTGAGATCCAACGAGGCAATCCCTGAAAACACATGGTCCACCAGTTCCTTGCGAGACGACTCTGGTGGGAGGCAGGCCTCTTGTGGCAAGACAATTGTCCCGTCCGGCTGGTTGACTCACCCCTCCCCCACCTCCAACAGCCATGAGGCAAATCCTGCTATTACGGTAGCTGCAGGGCCGGCCTGAAGCCGCATGTTGGTCCGCAGCTGCAGCTGCCCAACCGACGGCCAGAATGCAGCTTGAGTGAGAGTTGCTGCAATCGTCTCGGACCGAGTACCATGCTCCACCACTGGGAGACATTGCCGTAGATCACCTGCATGTCAGCCAGACTCAGATGTGCTTGCCTCACTAACCTGCAAAAAGCATAGTCACACCACCAAAGAGCTCTGTCTCCTTACCTCTGACATCACGAAGCATTCGGTCCACAGCTGTAATGCAGTGTCGGTGCTGCATGACAGCTTCATCCCATACAATGAGCTGTGTACGACGGACGAGTTCAGCCAGAGCTGACGGAGCTGGGACATTGCACGTCATTGTGTCACTGATCTCAATGGGGATCTTGAACCGTGAATGAGCGGTCCTGCCATTGGGCAAGAGTAGAGATGCCACCCCCAATGAGGCAACCGCTAAAGCAACATGACCAGAAGAACGGACTTGTGCAAGACAGAGGCGTTCCACAAATGTCTTGCCAGTACCGCCCGGTCCATCCCAAGCACGCCTCTGAGGGTGAAATGTACCTTCCGTCAAGATACTCAGCTATCTCGTCTCTCGAGTCATATCCCTCTGGTTGAAGCACAAAAGCTGCACGATCATGGCCTTTGTACACATATTTGAAAATGTATTTCACCGAGCTTGTGTCGCTTGCAACTTCAACATTCAGGTGGGTGTTGTAGCGACCAGAGAGATAGGGGTTATACGGAACTATCCACTGATTATCAAAGGTGAAACCGTTGTTTGTGTACACCCTGCCGTTGTCGCGTCGGCAATACACTGGATAGCTGTCTTCACCATGAACACTCTCTTCATTGAAACACCTTGGGTACCCCCTCTTGCACTTCCCGTCCTGCATGCAAGGAGAGCGTGGGTTGGAGTTCCCACACGGGCCATGATACATGGTCTTGGTGATTGTCTCCCAGAGCAATGGATGGCTGCCCGCGTCAGGAAGCTCGGCTGAGACCAGGGAGTCTATGTCGGATTCGGATACAGGTCGGACTTCCGGTGAGAGGATGACAAGAAGATGGATATGGGGTAGTCCTCTTTTTTGATATTCGATGGTGTATGTCCAAGCCGAGACAGGCCCAAAGATCTTGACACGGGTGATATCGCTCATGAGACTTTCAACCTTGAGACAGAAGACACGAGCTACAAGGTCGGGATGGTCGGATGCCTCCTGACCAGGTAGGAGAGCAGCGGTGATCTCGGGCCAATTTGGATTTGCAGTCATCGTGATGAACAGTGAAGGTTTTCCACAGTGTCGTACAAGCGCCATGCAGTCCTGATATGCCTCTTTCACGTAACGAGGACCTCCCAAATGTGAAGAAGGCAGTAGAGTGCCACGAGTACCAATCTGATGTAGTGAATGCCCCTCGTGGATGGCATGACGTAAGCGTGTATAGCTCTCCTTCCTCAGGGTCTGCTGATTGGCTCGGTAATACCCAAGTTGACGTTGCTCAATTGAAGCGTAGGCATCAACAACCCACTCTTGGAAGAGAGCACCCGCGTGATGAAGGGTGGAAAAGGGTGCATTTTGGCGAGTGTGAAGATGGAAGCTATGAAACTGCCGAAGGGAGATTGAGGGGAGTGCACCTGAGATCAGCACAGTCAGAAGATAAACCAGCACAACTCATCCTCCCGTCTTCTGGAGGGCTCCCTTGGCGCATGGATCCATCCATGGTTAGGACCAAGAGGCATTCCTGGCGACCATCCCGAGCTTCCCAAAGGAAGTATGAGAACATACCGAAGAGCCAAGTATGCTGAATGGAGCTCATCAATCCGTACTAATCCTCTGTCTCTGTCTTGCAACAGGATGTCCCTCACATGTCTCCCTGCCGGCTCCTCGTTACCGACAACAATCATCCCCACCTCCTGAGCCCGCGGTCGGTTGTAACGACGTGCATCCTTTGCAGAAGGCTCCACTGTCCTCAAGATTAGGTTCATCTGTGTTCTCTCTTGCTGAAGCCGCTCACGGGCGGAGGTGAGGAGGTGGACGTAGGGGTTGACCGCGGATAGCATTGCACCCAAAGCTTCAAGGGTAGGGTATTCAAGACTGTAGGGCAATCCGCGAGCTAGTCGGGCTTGCATCTGTCCAGCGGCAGTGTTGTCTGAGACATACACTTGTAAGAACTGCGGCTGCTGACCTGGCATGGGCAAAAGGCTTCCCAGCCAGTGATGGAGCTCACCTTGGATCTTGAGCACAGGAGGTCCGGGAGTACGTGAGATTGGGTCCGTGATTACTCCAAGTGAAGTAAATGCAAAAGCGTTATTATATGCACGAATGTGCTCTCGGAATCGAGCACCTGGAAGGAGGTCTGGATGTCAGTAACAGACACGTGCTATTCTTTGGACTCACCAGATCCGTGTGATGTGAGCAAAGGATGGAGGAAGGATGGTGGGGTAGGGAAAGGCTGCAGATCCACCATGCCAAAACCACAGCAATGAGGATATGGAGTGAGACTACCAGACGGGGGTCGGACCACTTTCTCCGCCTCCCAATGCAATGCTTGGCAGCACGGACAAACATGTGTCAGACCACCAAGATTATGTCTTTCAGGTTGTCCTGGCAGCAAGCGTTGGCGTGCCCATGGCTGGGTTCGATGAACAACAGGGGCTGGAGGACGAAGTGGCAATAAGTGTGGCCCGGAAAGTTCCCAAAGAACGGAGAGTCCAAGGCCCCTGGATGCGAGGATGCCAGACGAGTATTAGATACTTCAGCCTCTCTTTGCCTTTGTGTTGCTTGAGCTGATGATCTGGAGTGGGAAGGTGGAGGGGGAATACATAGTCGTCTTTCATCCGCACGTCGGCGGATTTGGGCAGCGCTGCGGCGGGATCGAGGAGGGATAGGGGACGGGGAGAACACCTGCCTTGGACGGGTGGTCCTTGAAGATTGTCGTGGTGGGGGACTTCGTGCCATTTGGTCTATGTGATAATGGAGTGATGCATTTGGATTGAATTGGAGCAAAAAAAATTCGATAAGCTGTTATGGCAGTGAGTCTGCACAAAAGTCAGGGGTTCCTGGCCAATTCTCCGGCCACGTGGTTTGTCTCGACGTTTGTCTGTGATTCGTGAGTAATACTTATAGAAGTGGATCTTGAGATCACAGGAATAGTGATAGTAAATCACACGTCACATTCTAGGGTATTCTCTCTATCACTTTATACACCGTCGCTACCATCACGGTTCTCCTCACTACCATCACTTCGATCACAAAGTGCCACAGTCCAGACACGTTTTACGGGATTTTTTGTTTTTCGACAGGACTAAACAACGTCGAGACGACGTCTACCAAAGACGGAGAGTAATGTCAGGATCACGACTGCACAGGACGGGTTCCTGAGAGTCGTACTCTGAGTTGTACTCCACCTTACCCGTTCCCGTCTCCGCGTTATCCATCCCGTCACCGACCACCCTGTTCTCCCGGGACGCCTAGTCGATACTTTCCACCTGACCAAGACTTTTTCTCATCTCTGGGTTCCCTCATTTTATCTCCGTCTTCCTTCGCTCTTCTACCTCATATTATTTCCCATCTTTACTCCATAGAATTCGGTATCACTCTGCTTCCCTTTTAGATATAGAAACAGCCCTGTTTCATAGATGTCTTGTTGAATGTATTTTCTCGTCACTTAGTAAATCTTTTGCCACTTGATCTCATCGACTTATAGTCTCTTCAATCCACTACATCACTAGACTATAAACTACATCACTAGGTCTGTTCCCTACGAGGCCCTATAGCCATAGCTCATAGACGCAGACTATTTTCAACGTCTGGTCCTGACAGAAACCGACTAATACTGTATGCAGTAGAGCAAGCCAGCTAGTCTGAAGCGGTACGTTCGTCAGTAAGATCATCAGGAACACCGTCCAGTCGCACTTGGGCATAGGTCTGAATTTCACTCCAGATTTGGCCAAATCGCACTTCAAGATCCGGATGTGATGTCAATTGGGGTAAAGATAGTGCGTCCAATGCGTCCAGTAGTCTACTCTCTAGTTCGATATACTCGAACCGTTTGAAACCGCTCACCTCAGCCATATATTCTTCATACCGACTGAAATGGGATATCTGCATTTGTCCCAACTGCTCCAAATCCATCGTAATCTGGTCCTCTTGCTCCTCCCATAGGGCTAAGCTCCCCTGCAACAGAGAAATTGCTACCTCCTGAGCACTGAGCTGTTGGAGTTCATCTGGCCATGAAGTGATCACTCGCTCGGCTGGTTCACCACTTACACGATCCTCAGTACGGGAGCAGTGAGCCTTGTATTGTGCATAGATATGAATCAAGGACTGACAAAGCTCACAAAGCCAGACTATTAGGGATGAGCTGGGCGATGAGAGAGTATCGTTCACCTGATTAGTAATCGTCTTGACCAAGTGGTCAAAGCGCTGATTCGGCTTCGTCACGGACGAGTGGGGAATTGTACGGGTATTGCCCTCCTCTCGGCTCATTGTATCAGGTTGTACAGCTTCTGAGGTTATCGGAAGATTGAGAGAGACGTCAAATCCACCAGGCTTGAAGGGCAATGTTTGAGGGAAAAGAGAGTTCGCACTGTTTGGAGGAAGAATTGTTGGGTAAGAGATACAGTAGAAGATGTGATTTATAGTCAGCATAGCTTTACACGACACCCTTTGTACTGTACAATCCTCCCTGCTGGCCGATAAAATCGGCCGGGGACGGCCGAACCGACATCAGAAAATTACCCCTGCCGTTGAATAACCAGTCGTTCAACTTATCCTCTGAACTTTATTTGATTGTCTCTGGTTTACCGCATGTGAGCGGAGTGTGATAGGTATAGAGACATGTAGAATCGATGCATGCTCTTTTTCCCCTCTGTATTATCAACTAATTATCAGCAAACACTCCCGACTGCTTCCTTCTTGCAATGTTCCAACCCTCCGCGGGTCGTACGGTACGTGGTCTTCTTGAGCAGGATCACTGAACATCTCCCCTGGTAGCATGGTCTCTTTGCTCAGTGTTTTGAGCCGACATCTGAGCTGTGACAATAGGTGTAGTGAAACCATGTAGATCGTGTAAATTCTTCTCCTTCTTTCTACCATCTTCCACCACACTCTACCATATTCTTCCTCTCTCTCCTTCTACATTCCATCCTTAATCAGCGTCACATAGCCTGGAGTATAAACTCCAGTAGTCAGAAGTATGCATCATCTTCATCCCTCGATTGCCTTGCAACATTGGAGACGTTTTCGGTACCTCTTACGATAGGACCATGTGTTTGTGTAGGTGATATCACTGGCTGAGCATGTCCGTGTGTAGGGCCTGTTCTGCCTCTGTCCACTCACGGCTACATGTGTCAAAGCTGACCATTGATGCTTGTAGTGCCAGAGACAGCTTGTCCCTGGGCAACAAGGATAGCTGTTTACCCTGATGAGAGACGTCTCTCAAATGGTAATGAAGACTTCGCACTTTGTCATCTATGAGGTCTCCTCTTACCATTGTGGCTGTTGCCTCATTCTCTTTGTAGCTCTCTATGGTTGCCCTGATCCCTCCTATGGTTGCTATAAAGTCTGATAATGATGACAGAAGTGCCTCTTGAAGCTTGACATGACCAGGTTTCACAACAAAAGGACTGTTTTGTTTGGTACCCTGTGAACTCACAGGACTCTTTGATAGGTTACTGTGGATTGTAGCTGGCAATGTCTGACAGCAGTCTACAAAGTTTTCGAAACATTGAACAGCTGTATCAAGAGGGAAGGGTGAAGATTCGGAGCTGGTTTGGCCACTTCGATGCTCTAGGTAACTCAGGACTACGAGCATGGTGATATACTCCGGGGAATGAGTGTGAGCCTCTGCAAGGTTGGAATGCGTGCTTAGGTTACCGGTGGCCATGACTTTTGGAACACAACTTAGACTAGAGAAAGAGTCACAAAGAGGGCTTCTCCAGAAGTTTGAGTGTGCTGACTAGGGCAGATAAACAGGAGAAAGCTGTGGACCAATATGAAGGGATGATCAATCTGTTTTGAATTTCCCACTCCGCAATCAGGACTCCTCCACAACGTTATCGCGGTGGGAAGTGTGTGAGGGTCGAGTCTTGAACGACTCACAGCGGCTTTCACTGTCCTGCTATCGTTCTGAGTAAACTCTCCTGTACAGTCAGTATGTTGTGTGACCTTATCACCGTGCACGACTCTGTGATGTCCTCGGCTGAGACGGTCCAATAAAGTGCAGCATCTGCTAGGAACACAGCCGGAGATGTTCTCTGGTTGTTACCTTAGCAGTAGGAATTAGTGGAGTACGGAGTTATTACGCCAAGAAGTCATTATTACATACCCGTCCTCAGAACATTGAGTCCCCCAAATTTTGCCACCCACGAAGTTATTGGCCGTCGGTCGTAGGAAGCATATGACGGTTTTGCCCCGAAACAATATGAATGACCATTGTGATATTTGACCATGTTGCCGTTTGAATGACAGAAGCTGGAAGACAATGCAACAATGATGCTGTTCTTGCTGCTTGATACATCTCATAAGAAATTTCGTATGTGGACCTCCGATGGTGCATGGCTGAATGCAGAGCTATGACCACGTGCGTCGAGGTTGCTAGTTTGGGTGATACCTAGTCATCCCCATTACCCGCCACCGATAAACACTACCAGCCACCCTTATCTACAATACACTCTCATTCCATGTACATAAGGTAGTGCATAGCTTAGAACAACTTCGACGAATGTATCTTGTCTGTCTCACATACAAGCTATTCATACTTTTGTTCCTCAAATCATACCCTTCGATTTTCATATCGCTTCGCAGCTACTTTAGTCCCTGCAAGTAGATCCACCTCCCTCAACGCAGATCCTTCGACCTTCGGTCTGGTCTTGACACCGGGAGACCGTACAGCTGCGGTGTCGCGCGGATCTCTGGGTGTGTTCCAGGAGGAGTTTTTGAGCCATTTCACTCGGGAGGTGAACGTCTCCGGCTGTGTCTCAGACATCCATACAAGCCCAGTTATCGTTTGGAACATCTACTCTTGGTTTATGAATGTGATTGATTTTCCAAGTGAAGCCGGTACAGCAAGGAAAATATGAGACAGAAGGCTTTTGTCAGGACCAGACATTGAAAATAGTCTGCGTCTATGAGCTATGGCTATAGGGCCTTGTAGGGAACAGACCTAGTGATGTACTTTACTCGTCCACACGCCCCACTCGGTCGCACGGGACACTCGGTCGTCATCATTTTTGGTTGATACCATGCAATCTGTACGATAACTTCCATAGTATTCACGATACACACTAGCTATTTGATGCACTATAAGATGGACCTGCCACACAGCTCTGGTCATCATCGTGGCCTTGTCTCTTGCCTTTCGCATTGGCAGCTTGCTTCCGCTTCTCCCTTCTCTCCATCTCCTGTTCCTTTCTTTCCGCCAGCTCCTCAGCATGTTCTTCCTGATATTTCTGATCATAAACCTGTCCTTGGGTAAATCTCTGACGTTTTCCACCCCTGGCCGCTTTCTCCAACTTCTCTGCTGCCTGCCGCTTATTCACATCCTCCTGCAAAGTCTTCTCTGCTATTGTCTTCTCACACGTTTTCCCCACCTTTAACAAAGCCGTTGTTGGACTGATTTCATGACGTCGGACTGCACGCTCTATAGCCTTGATACTTCTGATACTTTGGGGAGTTCGAAGCTCTATTGGTGCGATCTGTTGTTCCGGTGTGACTGGTCTAGCACCCATGATCGCTTGACTAAGAGGAAATAGCCCGGTTCTTGCCCATGCGCTTCGGATCTGACGTGATGTTGTTGATGCTTTCCATGCTCGTTGATGCCAGCAGTAGAACAAGTCTTTTGGAATACTAGCCGCATCAGTTCCAAGTTGATAGTCACTAATTTGGTTCTCATATTCTTGTTTGAGACGAACGAAGAAATTGACATCAAGCGGTTGAAAAACTGATGTAAGATTGGCTGGGAGAATGATGCAGACGATGTTGTGAGACCAGCAGGCTTCGAGAAAGTCAACTTGATAGTGTGTATCATGTCCATCCAGGAAGAGGAGACGACGATGTCCATTGGCTCGGGGACCTGTTGCAGGTTCAAAACAGTCCGTGAGCCATTGCTTGAAAGTGAAACTATTGCTGAATCCTGAATCTGTGACGGTTGCTATTTGCTTTGGCGCTGGATCTTGAATCTTCCACCAGTTTTCGATGAGGTTTTTGCCAGGATAAATGATATACGGAGGGATAGGTGCGTCACAAGTTGAGATGGATGCTATGACTGTGATGTGGACAGAGGAAGCGAGAGCTGCATGAGCTTTGGTTGAGGGGATATCCACAGGAGCTACTCGGCGCTGTCGGTGCTTTGCAGTCAATTCAAAACCGGTTTCATCATCATTGTAGATGTCGTGGGAAGCGTACATCCCAGTATCCAGAACTTCCTTCACCTGATCATGTCAGATAACCAGCTAGATGACCTGAGAGCAACTTACCAGGGCATAGAAAGCCTGCCGATTCTCTGGAATATCTGCTTTGAGACGTGAGAGCTCTTGAATACGATAATACTTTGAAGAAACTTTGTCTCGATGTCGTCTGAGGAAGGTACTTGTCCAATTGATTCCGACAGAATGACCACAAAGGATTTGGGCAAGTTGTTTGATGTGTCGGGGGGTAAGAAGGGTCCCTCTTGCAGCATACGAGTTGATTTTATCGAGTAGAGCAGTCTCTTGGATGACAGATAGGTTACGTTGAGTGTTAATACCACGAGGAGCATGAGTATTGGTGACTCGATCATAGAGAGTAGACGATGGGACATTGAACTTCTCTGCAACTTTGGTGTAAGACTGCTTAGGGTGAAGTTTCTTATGAGCAATTGCGGCGTCCATATTATGCGACATGGTGGAATGTATGCAGAGATAAGTTCATTGTATAAAATTTGAAGGATCAACCGAGTGTCACGTGCAACCGAGTGGGGCGTGTGGACGAGTATAGTCTAGTGATGTAGTGGATCGAAGAGACTATAAGTTGATGAGATCAAGTGGCAAAAGATTTACTAAGTGACGAGAAAATACATTCAACAAGACATCTATGAAAAAGGGCTGTTTCTATATACTAAAAGGGAAGCGGAGTGATACCGAATTCTATGGAGTAAAGATGGGAAATAATATGAGGTAGAAGAGCGAAGGAAGATGGAGATAGAATGAGGGAACACGGAGATGAGAAAAAGTCTTGGTCAGGTGAAAAGTATCAGCTAGGCGTCCCGGGAGAACGGGGTGGTCCGTGACGGGAAGGATAAGCGGAGACGGGAACAAGTAAGGTGGAGTACGACTATCAGGAACCCGTCCTGTGCAGTCGTGATCCTGACAGCTTTGGCAGATTGAAGCCAGGCTGTCCTTGTCTTCATGAAGTCCTCTGATATCTGTCCCTCACTATATCATGCCAACTCTTTCCCACTATCAGACGCCTGTTTAAGAAGCTCTTTCAGGATAGGTATGTTGTCCTCAGCTCCTCTATCTTCCTCCCCCTGATCCTCCAGTGACTCGGTATCTGAGATGTCGCCAGTGTTCCAGGTGTTGCACCATTCAAGCTCACTCATGATTCTGATCATCCATTTTGCTATCTTATGACACCTGGCAAGGGTCTCTTGATAATGACCCTCTTTATACAAATGAGAATTCACTGAACGTATCCTGCTGGCTTTTGTTGAGGGTGCTGCATGGCTGTGTAGATGGTGTTTGCTAACAATTAGACGAAAAAGAGCCTGCATTGATTCTACATGTCTCTATACTTATCACATTCCACTCACACGCAGTAAACCAGAGACAATCAAATAGAGTTCAGAGGATAAGTTGAACGGAGAAATATCCGACGGAAGGGGTAATTATCTAACAACGGTTTGGCCGTCCTGGACCAATCCTATCGGCTAACACTCCCCCACGGGACAATGCACGGCTCTGCAGTAGTCCCGGACGATTTATCGATGGTGACAGCAATGTTTGTGATGGTGTAGCAGGCAGTAATGATGAAATATTTAGTGATATTGTGGTAGTGGTTGGTGAGATCGTGAAATTAATTTTGATGGGGCCCCGTACTGTGGGCCTCTGCTCTGTCATGTGGGTACCACTCACTACTGTCAACTCACTCTTCTCTTTCACTACCATCACTGCTACTCACCACATAACTCCTCACAGGTCGATAATGACCAACATCAAAAGACTAGCAGAACCAAGAGTGTTTGGCCTAGCATGTGGCAAGTCAATGACGGCTTGGGAAACAGGTGATATTAATCTCGAACTAGATTCAGGACAAAAGATGGTACTGAAGGATGTACACCACGTCTCCACAGTGAAGATAAGTCTCCTCTCCCTATCGAAGTTACTCTCATGGGGATGGAAGGCGAATCTGAGCAGCAGTGGTGGATGGATAGGTAAAGGTAGAGAGAAACTAGGTTTGAAAAAGCAAGACTCACTATGGTCGGTAGGGTTTGGCAGAGCAATGTCTGCCACGATGATCCTAATATCGACACCAAAGGCAACTTCACCACTCGAGTCTGAACATCAGCAACTCGGACACACATGTGTGCAGAAACTGAAGAATCTAGGTAGACAGGGACTACTAAAAAAGGATTGGGATACTTACAAGGATGATCCTTTTACAACTGAGAAATGTCCAGCCTGTATGGAGGCCAAAATAGCACGTCTACCAAAGAATAAAGAAGCACCAATTGTCATAACCCTCAAATATCTGTCAATACCACGTGTATATCTGTCATAACCCTCGAATATCTGTAAATACCACGTGTATATCATCCACTCAAGTCCAATCAACTTTACTCAACTCGTCTCAGCTCATTCCATCGCACAACATTGTCACGAAGACCAACTAACCAGCATTGGCTCAATATAACAGTGCCCAACGGAACAGTGATGTTAACCACTGCGACGAAAAGGCCTATTAATCGGCAGTTAACCCTACCGCCGATCGCTGGTTAAATACCCTTCCCCGACTTTTGCTCGACTTGTCACACGCTTTGTGACATCATCTGTCGTCATCTATCATCATCTGTCGTCATCCCAAGCTCTGGCCGACATGTACCAGGTTCCGTGTCCTTGTTCCCGCTAAGACCAGACAAACTGATAAGTGAGAGTACCCCGGGAGCAATATTAGCCGGATGTCCGGTCGGCATCCATTTCTGTATCTGAACCCGACCCAATCAACAAACAACAGAATCATCAATGATCGATAATTAGCCATCAATTCCTTGATTACTAATTAATGCGTTAATTAGCCATCTATTCCTTGATTACTAATTAATGAGTTAATTAACCATCAATTACGGGTACCTCAGTTAGTGATCAATCATGGGTACCTTAATTAGCAATCACGCCACTGACATCATAGGAGTACATGTACGTCTGTCAATGGTAGTACGACTCCCTTGGTTACCAAACAACTGGCTCACAGGATCAATCACAGGATCAATCACCGGGTCAATCACAGGATCAACCGGTCAACCGGTCGTCAGGACAGCCTTGTGAAAACACGTGTTTGAACAAGGAAAGCATGCTACTGATCAACACACACCCGCTACTGATCAAGAAGTGTACGCCACTGATGAAGAGTACACACTAGTGATGAGGAGTACACACTACTGGTTAGAGGTCTCACCTCTTTAAGCAGTGTGGACGACTCAACTGAAAGAACCAGAAGGAAAACCACTCTACTAAGCATATTCAGCCTATATTCGAACCTCTACCAAAACCGCAGGATTGAACCAGGTATTTTTGAGCCAAAAGCTGCATAATGTGGGCGCTTAAGAAACACCCTCCGAACTCCCTGAAAGATCAGAGCTCATCTAACTCCCAGGCCTGAAGATCACTTCTCACGGCTCCTTGATTCATCTGACTCGTCATAAGTTCTCAGCCTTTGATGAGGAGATCTCTTTCGGGGGCTTCCAGGATGACTCAGAGCCTTCTGAAAATTTGTTTAAAACACTGCTTTTGATACGAGGTTTCCTCAGGGTGTCCCCCCTCGAAGTAGGGAGGAGAGGAAGGGGTTTTAGGCTCAGTTTGGAGGATTTTGTCTATAAATAGTGGTTCTAGCTCTCCGTTTCTTTCTCTGGCTCTCCGATCAATTGTCATCCTTGATTCTAGCTCTCTACTTGAACTTACTGTCGATTTTAAGACTGTTTGAGACATGCCATTGCGGCTTCATTGTCATCAGTCATATATTTGTGACACCAATGTTAAAGGGAGATGGTGAGGGAGTGAGAATGGATGTCGATATTACTGGGCCATTCAGTCCGGTGATAAAATGAGAACGATACTTCTTTGTCAGTGTGAAACAGGCGAGCCAAAATGTATTTGCCATACCAATAACAATGAAGAACAAAGCTTCTGATATTGTTTGACAGTGTATTGCCAATCAGAGAAATAGCTTGGTGAAAGGGTGAGGGTGATTAAGTCTGATGGGGGAGGTGCATTCGATAGTCTCGATATGAGGGAATTCTACCTGTCAGCAGGGATCAACCACTACATCACACCAAGATACACACCAGAATTAAAGGGAGTGGCTGAGAGAATGATACATACCTTGAAGGGGATGATATCAACGATGTTATTCAACTCAGGACTACCGAACAAATGCTGGTCCTGTGCTGTCGGATATGCCGCTGTAATAATAATGAAAACATCAATTGGTATCAATGGAAAATTGGGGTGGACATCACTCACAGGAAGAGATACCAATCTTGATAGTGTGTGGAGATTTGGTGAACAATGTTTCGTTCAAATACCAACGGAGATAAGGCTGAAGACAAACTTCACGATACCTAGGGGTTCGTCAGCTATCATACTAGGACAAGATGAGGGTGTGAGCGGTTGGATTGTTAGGATGGACGGATCGGGACGAATTGAACACTCACGGGAGGTTTGTCGCTCGACAGGACGGATTGTGACTACTAGAGAATCGCCAGATGTCATCCAAACCCCCCTCAATACCATCAAAATAGATTCAGAGGCCGTCGTCAACAATGAGATTCTCCTTGACAACCAATCAGAAAGTGGCGAACAGGAAAATCTCGATAATGAACAAGGAAATGATGTTGATAGAAGCAACCCACCTGGTACAGGACCACAGCCTACTGAAAGACGAGGAGGACAAGGCATCTGGGGAGGAAAGTGGGTCTATGAGAACGATATCGTTGAAAATGAGAGAAATGATGAGGAAGGAAGAAATGATGGGGATGAGGGGATCCTGACGACACGTCACGGACAAATTATTCGACCCCCCCCCCCCCCCCAACGTTTTGCAGGCCTAACAGACTTGTTCCCGGAGTTCGGTCGCGAGCCTAATAGGTTAGCCGCACTCGCCTCTATTGTAGGTATTGAAGGTGACATTTCTCTCATCGATCCTGTCTCTCCTGACGAAGCAGTAAATGGCCCAGATGGTGAAACTTGGCTAGGATCAATGGAGAAAGAGATATCCAACATTGAATCTAAAGATACATGGGTGGAGACGGTACTTCCACCGGGTCGTAAGCTATTGGATGTAAATGGGTATTCAAAGTGAAGATAGTGTCACGAAGGACGTGACATGTGCCAAATAGAAAGCGACAGTGTTAGGCAAAAGCGACTGAAAGTTTGAAAGTTATGGGTTAGGTATCTAACCAGCGACCGGCGGCTTGCAGTAACCGCCGGTCAATAGGCCTTTTTGTCGCAGTGGTTCTTATCACTGTTCTGATTTGGACTGTCATATTGTCCCAATGCTGGTTAGTTGGTCTCGCAACAGACAGATTCAGAAGGAAACCTAATAAAGTACAAATCCAGACTAGTAGCTCAAGAATTATCACCGGTACCAGGTGTCGACTACGAAGAAACATTCGCACCTGTAGGTAGATCGGGGTCGTTGCAAATACTCTTGACTATAGCGGCCACCAAAGATCTCAAAATTCGTCAGGCCAATGTCAAAGGGGGTTATTTGAATGGTAAACTCGATGTTGGAATTTATATGAGATATCCCAAGGTGATAAAGCCAAAACCTGGATGTGACACCTTGAAGTTAGTCAAGTCTCTTTACGGTTTAAAGCAATCTGGACAAACTTGGTGGGTTGAACTGGGGGAGTCACCTGGGGTTCTCAAGAATTGAGTCAGTGTCATGAATAGTGATAAGGAGTTCTGACTCATGCTCAGATTAGTGATAAGGAAATATGACTCATGCTAGGAACTGTGATAAGGATTGAAGGAAAATATGAGTCCTGGTATTTAGCAGTTCAGCAGTGAGGCATTTACGTGATTGGCTGAAGCCTGGAAGGTTCAGCAGTTTAGCAGTGAGGCATTTATGTGATTGGCTGGATCCAGTTTCCCGCGGTGCTCTCACTTTGAGGCATTTCTGTGATTGGCTAGAAAATCCCTCACACGCTTTTTATTTAGTACACCTACTTTAGTTATGAAGGGTATAAGAGGAGCACATCTCCCCCCTCTTTCTTCAGCAATGTACCTTCATCTTGAAGTTGAACTTCAGCTTTGAAAGTCACCTAGTTGGTTCTAACCCAACACCTCAGTACCCTCAGTACCTAAGGCAGTCATCAAGCTCTACGAGCCAGAAGCTAAACCCTTCAGTACCTGAGGCAGTACTCTGCAACCGCAGTCAATCCGCAGGCATGACAGTCAGATTGGGGTCTTTACTACAGACCCAAAGGTAAAATCGAAAGAAAGGGAGCAGCAATACTGCTAGCCTATGTCGATCATCTGGTATTAGCCACAAAATCAAAGGACGAAGCAAAAGAAATTTTTGACGGGCTAGGAAAAAGGTGGATAATAACCGACTTGGGGGAGATAAGTACCATTCTAGGTATGAAGGTTACAAGGACCAGAGAAGAAAAACAAATATGGTTAAACCAACCACCGTATATTGATAATGTAGTTCAGAAGTTCCGTGAAAACGACCTACATTGCCATAGGAAAACACCATTACCCCTCACTGGGAAAAATCCGTTGATGTCGGAAATGGAGATTGAAATTTGACCATTTCAAGAATTGATAGGATGACCACAATGGTTAGCCACAAGTACTGGTCCAGATTGTCACGAACTACGTCGTGACACCTCGAATATCCCACCATCAGTGACCCTCCTTTGACCATCAAAACCCCTATCACGTCTTAACCTCTTCACCCTACACGTAACCTAGGACATCTGAGACCAGCTACGGCGAAGTACAACGGGAGAATATGGTACACAGGGGTCTGGAGCATAAGGACGGCAAAGTGCGGCAAAGTTAGACGGAGTTAGGAGGGATCAGGGACAATGGAAGCAGAAGTACTGTCACAAAGCGTGTGACAAGTCGAGCAAAAAGTTGGGGAAGGGTATTTAACCAGATCGGCGGTAGGGTTAACAGCCAATTAATAGGCCTTTTCGTCACAGTGGTCAACATCACTGTCACGTTGGGCACTGTTATATCGAGCCAATGCTGGTCAGTTGGTCCTTGTGACAAGTACGGCGAAGTTAGACGGAGTTGTGCTGAGTAGGGACAATGGAAGCAGAAGTGCGGCAATGTTAGGCAGAGTTAGTCGAAGGGAGGAGAAGGACGGCCGGGGACAGGGGAAGTTGGATGAAGTGCGTTGAAGTATGTCCAAGCGCGAGAAGGTTGGGTGAACATCTAGGAGGAGTAGATCATAGTAGCTGAGAAGATCGCTGAAGTTCTTCAGCAATCCTTGATTGTTGTCAGTAGTGAAAGATTGATAGAGATAGCTACATTTAAATCGAGATACATCGCCATCAGTAAAAACCCCTAGATAGAGTAACTACGTCGAAGTATGTCGTAGTTACACCCCTTTTGACGTCTGCGCCCTCCTGGTTGGGTGAGACATTGAGTTTGAAACATCAAGTTAGCCGAGGTTCGTCGACCGGCGGTCTATTAGGAGGAAGTTAGTTGACGGTCGTGACAGATGCATGCTCTCTTTCCCTTGTGTATTATCATCTAATTGTTAGCAAACAGGGATCACTGAGACCAAATGACCTGTCAGACTTAGTGCTTAATGAGAGTTGGAATGTGGAAGTGTGAGTTGAGTCGGATCCATGAAAGTTTTTTGCCATCACAAGATGTCTTCCGTGATCGATCAGGTTTACCTGAGACCCCATTAGGAAGAGGGGGCAGCAAACTGAATGGGAGTGATAGGGCGTCCATCATGTGTGAGATAGTCTGAGAATTGGGTCTGATATGTGCTCAGGCAATTTGAAAAGTCAGAGTGAAGTGTCAAGAAATTTTCATCGTGAGGGGTCACCGTCATCCAGGCTTCCAAAGTCCGAAGATATCCCGCTCCTGCCGTATTGAGAACATTGCCGTGTAAAGTTAGTTTGGCTATAATCTCACGTAGATCAGACTCTGGATCTTCCAGTGCTCCAAGATAAACCAGTGTCTCTTCTACTGCAATGTCCATCCGAGAAGTTGCTTTTTGAAGCGGTTCCCACTTTTTTGCAATCTCAGCATCTGATTCACTCTCTTGTGTATAAGGAGAAGTTCGCTCGGCAGTCACTTGCTGCTTGAGTGCACGCCATGCCTTTACTAAGTTGGAGATTGTGGCAAGCAACTCTTTACCCTCAAACCACGGTTCAGAGTTCTTATCCACCAATGTGGCATGGGTTTCAGGAGATTCGCTCATTGCACGTATGTAGCTCTAGGTATCAGGACACTTCCGCGTTATCAAGAAAAGGGGAGAGGATGAAGAATAGCTGGAAGATTCTGGTTCTCTGCCGTGTTGGAGCTTACACCGATGAGAAAACTCCGCGGGATCGGGGAATCGATCTTTTGTGCACGGAGCACCAATACGTGTTATTCTCTCACCACTCAACAAGTTCTGCTTATGGAGTGTACAACTGAGGATCCCAAGTTGACATCTTACCAGTATGTAACGTAGTTTATACAAGAGTCTTGATGGACAGTAAGTCAACAAAGTTCACTTTCACCACAAGAAGCAGGATAGTCGAAATACTATGTACGATTGTAGTCGATTCCTCTCCGGTCTTGATCCTGCTAGTTTCTCCGATTTTATAGTGAGTTTCTTTCACTTCTCTTCAAAGGCATAAGCCCTGAAGAAGTAATGAACAGGCTCATTCAGAATGAAAACTGTTTCCTTGATCCTGCAATGAATTCTATCTGTCAAGGACATGTCATCTATCGCTCGATTGCGCTCCTTGAGACATTTTCCACGTTCGTTCGCTGATAATGGGATGATAATACAGAGGGGAAGAAGAGCATGCATCGGTTCTACAGTTCTACATGTCTCTATACTTCACTCACAGTAAACCAGAGACGATCGAATGAAGTTCAGAGGATAAAGTTGAACAACAAGATATTTGACGGAAGGGGTAATTTTCCAATGTTGATTCGGCCATCCCCGGCCGATTCTATCGGCCAACAACGTTGAAATGACACTGTAGAACTTAAGCTATAATCTTTGGATAGCTTTCTCTATTCTTGTTTTGATAAACGTAGTGGATCAGGAAATATGAAGAGATAGCAATTGCTTGGACCGATAATCCAATGGGTAGGAGATTCCGATAGATCCACCTATTTCTACTTGGCACTCTCAAAGATTGTTTACAGGAGGTACTGTTTTCACCTAGTGAGAGTGAGTTAACAGAGTCAGCGTACACAAACGTGTTCTTGTTCTCTGTGTACAAATTGGACCGCGATAAAACTATGATTCTGTTGCATAAATGTGGTAAAATTGGAGCAAGTAATTTCTACAGACATGAAAGTGTAAAATCGCTCTACATTCACGGAAAACTGCTAGCACTCTCATCCATGTCATATCATAATGTCTCTACATCACAATATCTTTATCTTCTCTGTGAAGAGTCTGTCAGTTGAGACTGTTTTGTCTCCTTTCTGGCCAGTGGTTGTCAGGTCTGATGATAGGATTATTATCCAAATTGACAAGCTCCATCCTCATTTGAAAATACCGTTGGGCCGCCTCATCAAACTTGTCACCTAGACTACAGACAAAAGCATACTCATGAACAGAATCAGCGCCCCTAATCAAGTCATTAAAGTCTTTGATTAGGGATGTCATACTTTGTGAAACATTCCTCTTGAAGTCATTGAGGTGCGTGATGCTTTCACCCAGAGCTACACTTAGAGTTGTCATTTGTTTTAACTGACTTTCTGTTACACCTAAACTCTCTGCAATTTTCCCCAAAGTTGGTGGTTGTGACTTGGCTTCTGAAGTGACTAAAGAACCGGTAATCAAGTCCCAAAACTGACCTCTCAACTCGGATGCAGAGGAGATAAGCTCGACTGTCAGACGATCAACTTTGACTGTCAGACGATCACCTTCGTGAGTCTCACGATCAGCATTGTCGGTCTCTCTAGAGTACACAAAGTGCATTCTAGCCGCGGTGAGTGCAAGTGTCTTGGAGGACAGTGGGTCCGGAAGCGATAGAGATCTTAGCGGTGGTTTTCGGTCGCCCATTTTGGTGAAGTGCTAGATAGCAGATACAGTTGACGTCAATGAGTTCTTATAGTTTATCCTCTTCCTTCTTGCCTTCTCACTCGGACGGATCAGGACGTCATATCAACTCCGAATCTCGATCCGACCCCAGGGTGCGGGGGGACAGGTGAAAGGATGATCGATAGGTGTTTTTCGAAAAATACGATCGTGGGTTACGTGTGAGTCGATATCTCTCCTCCGTCGATGGTCGAGGGCGTCAAGCTGTCACTCCGCCCACTAGGGAGAAGGCCTCATGAGAAGGCCGCAGTGTGGAAGAAGACGGCATGTCTTCTCAGCGACTAGTCGTCGACGGAGATCGAATCGGCGATCGGAAATTTTGCTTGTGAAAAGCTTGAGGAATGAGAAGGGAGATTTGGCTGTTTGGGACATACGAAGTTATGGATTCGTACTCTGCATGTAAGATATTTCCCCATGACGTATGAAGGGACTCCGCCATTTGACGTGGGTAGCGAGCTGTGTGATCTGAGCTGGAAAAAAATGGGGACCAGACTTCCCTCACTTCGAGATCTTTCTAACGATCGAGGATCGGCTGGAAAGGTTGAGATCATCTTGTAGACTTTTCAAAGTGACTTTAGTCCATCGAGATGATCTAGAGGATTTAGGATATGAGAACCTTTGAGTAGCGTACGTCTTGAGGATTTTGTCGGATGCGTAGGACGGTCTTCCGTTCAATGACTTCATATCTCGAGCAACTTCACGGGAGACACGATTGTTGAAAATTCGATATCTTTTATCTTCTAGGCTTACATGTCCACCAAGAGGAAGTCTATCAACTGGGACAATATCCCTCCGTCTCGTAGTCCTAGTCGGAAGGGAAATTGATGTGCTCCGTCCTTCTTCACCGGAGTATTTTGACCTTGGTGGAAGACTTTGTCGCACTGGCTAGTCTTTATGACCCTGCCAGTATCGAGGCCCTCCCTGTTGCATTCCGGAAGTAAGTTGACTTGTAAGCATACATTTTGGTTGATGACATATTAAGGGAAGGAGAAGACAAGTTAGAGGTACGAACCGTTGGCCTTCGGAGATTTATACGATGCAAGCGATTGTAGCGAGCTATCTATCTTATCCCTTCGTACAGTAGAGTACGAGTACGCTGAATATCTTTCCGTGTCGTTTTACTCATCCACTTACACGTTCTGACCAAAAAAAAAAGAAACATCAGGAAAAAGAAGAATCATGTCGGTTTTACCAGCAACTATGAAAGCCGTGGTGATCAGGGGGAAATATCATATCGAGTTAGAAGATCGTCCATTACCTATCATCAAAGAGGATACCGATGTGATACTTCGTACTCGAGTCGCTGGATTGTGCGGTAAGTATTCACCTCGATTATACCTCCTATACAAGATAACTTCCCTAGTTCATCCAATGCTGTTGGTGGGAGGTAGTTGTGATCTCTTCCCCCCCCAAAAGGGAAGAGGGGGTGACAGGTGACAGAGTAAAGCTGTGAACGATAGAGAGTGAAGAAAGTTGATGAGACAGGCTCAGATTTACATAATTGGCGTTTCACCGATCCTACTTCGGGTTATATACTAGGTCATGAGATAGTCGGTGAGATTATAGAAGTTGGAAAAGGAGTCAAGAATTTCAAAATTGGAGATATAGTGGCAGCTCCATTTCATTGTTGTTGTGGTGAGTTCTTCCCTTCTTTCTCGGGAAGCATCCACTAGGCCGTCTTTGGCCGACATTACCGCATTCTACACTTCCTTTGCTTCGAGCTCATCACTACGATCAGGATCATTCATCGTTCACGCTTCTCCCCGTTCATGAATAATATGACACGTAGTACGTTAAGATGGTAAAGCAACGAGCACACTTAAAGATGGGTTGAAGGGGAAGAAGGGAAGGAAGGGAGAGAAGGAGGAGACAGACTTAAAAGTAGCTAAATATCAGGAATATGTTGGTACTGCTCCCGAGGTTATTTCTCACGATGTACAAAAGCTCAATGTTACGGTGGTCCCGATCTTGACGGTTGTCAAGCTGAATATTTCCGTCAACCTCTAGCCGACAGTACTTTATTTCCCGTTCCCCCAGATGTGAAGGAAGAACATATGTTGCTGTTGAGTGATGTTTTATCGACAGGATACGCTTGTGCATATTACGGTAAGAGGCTGTTAGATGAGGATAGGGAGGGTGAACATATCGGGGTGAAAGATGGGGTCGCCGTGGTTATCGGATGTGGACCGGTGGGTTTTATTCGCCGTTCCTGCTTGCTCAACAGCATTCCCCTCTCCAACACAAAGTTTATCCTCTCGCTCTGATCTTCACATCTCCTTTCCTGGCATTGTCGTACGACCAATAGCCAACATTAAGAGCGACGCTTCAAATTCGTCACCATCCCCAAGTGACCAAACGATGGGTCATACCCGGAGTGACAAAACATCGAGAAAGAGAATGTTCTTCCGTCCTTTACCATTCCGCTTTCCTAAACTGTGCAAGGTTCCGAAAGAGCGGAAGTGACGTCAAATTCAGTGTGGAAACGAGCTCACTTCAGGTCGGTCTATGTGCAATATCAAGTGCCCTCACACTCTTCTCAACAGTCTACGCATGTGACCTCAACCCTGATCGACTTCTCTTAGCTGAGAAACACGGTGCCAAAGCTTTCTCTCTTGACCAAATCAAACAAGCTTTGTTGGAAGGTACAGATGGTAGAGGTGCTGATGCTGCTTTAGAAGTGGTGGGTAATGAGAATGCTTTGAATTTGGCATTAGATTTAATACGACCTTTTGGGTCGGTAAGTGTTATAGGACAACATATAAAACCTGTTACTTTATCAGGTGAAGTTTTGTATGGTAAAAAGTGAGTCATATAAATCTTTTCTTCCTCTTCACTTTCCTCTCTTTCCTCCACTTCTCCTTTACCTCCCTTACCTTCTCTTCTCCCCTCGGGTCTCATCGGGTCTTACAACGATGGGAGATCACGAGAGAGTCTAAGATCAACCTCACATAGATTATCCCACTCCAAAGGCTATAACACCGTTCTTGAAATTATCATCTCCCTGGCTGAGAGAGAGGAATGAACACTTATGGTTCACCCTCCATCAGATATCCTACATTTCGGTAGGAAGGTGGTATCAAATCTTAAGTAAGAGACTATTTCGGACTAAATATCAGCGCTCGACTCCAATTTGGAAGATGTCCAGTCCGTCGGTTTTATCCTGCGGCATTACAAATCCTCAAACAGAATTCTGATCTTTTCGAAAAATTTATCACTCATCGAGCTCGTTTGGATCAAGCTGCAAAAGTGAGTTAACCCATCTACCCTTTCAAGAAAATACAATGGAGAGAGGTTCAGGACTGATGGGTTAGTATTACGATTTATTCAATCAAGGAAAGATTGGGAAAACTGTATTTGTGGCTGATCATTTACCTTTGGAACCGAGATAATTACATCGTCTTTTCCTTTCGTCGTCTTCATCTATTGGCTTCATTGGAGTCAAGTGACAAGGACCATTGACTGGAACCAACTCTTGAATCACTGTCACACTTTCATACATCACAGTCGATTTCCATGCGAGAGCCTGATTCTGAATGCATGACCTACACCCCAAATGTCCAGTCCTGTAAAGTATGTCTGCACGTATAAAATATCACTTTAGTGGTTTCTCATGGTGAGGAGGGAAAAGTTAAGATTACGTAAACTCTCCCCCTTGTACAAACATGACGCGCCTGATTTCTTTCTTTTCTCCAGCCATTCCATCTCAAACTTGACTCTTCACTACTTAGGTATACGAGGTGTTCCAAACAAAAAGAAAATAACATGATACCTCCTACTCCATTCCTACCTCGTGACTTGAAACAAGACCAATCGTTCTTACTATTCACTCAACCGATATTCGACGTAGATGAGTCGTTATGGGATGAAGAGTCGTCTAAAATGACCATTCCCGAACTCACTGCACAACCACAAGCTCCTATTGCCTCTCTGCAATTACAAGAGGGGATTCCTTCGAGAAGCACCGCAGGAGATTCAAGGAAGACTATCGATAAGATATTTCTGGGTGGGCAGGAGTACGAGAAGGGTCAACATGTAGAGAAGGTCGAAAATGGACGACAGAAGTTTGGATCTATAAAGGAAATGGAAGTTGAATGGATGGAGAATGATTGGATGGAAGAAGTCTTGATCACAAGAGGTGTAAAAGATCCTCGACATCCAATTGACTTACAATCCGAATCATCTAGAAGTACCAGTAAATCTCATTCCACCAAAAGAGATTTGACTCCTGAAAAAGGTGATAGAAAGAGACGTGAGTTTATTTCTTCCCTCATATCACCTCTCACACCCTTGCCTTTGAGTGTTCCAACGTATGCAATGTGGGACTTTGAGCTTGACTAACAGCACAGCGAGATATACATATTCGCATCACAAAAATATGGGAAACGATTTATATACTCGGAAAATGATCGATATGGACAGGAATTCTCCACCTTCTTTACCTAGTTTACCGGTACCTATCCGTTCCAACTCCTTCATCTCAAGAATATCTTCGAATGATTCTTCTTCTTCCAGACGATCTCCTATACTTCCAAACACTAAGCTGGATCGTAAGAATGAGCAAGAATACAGAATCTCAAGATCGTCTGAGATACCTATACTGGAATATTCTGAGTTGGGGAGGAGATGTTTGAATCGGAATGGTAGAGAGGAATTTGGGGAAAGAAAGAATATTGATGATTGGAGATACGGTATCATGGAAGATGTTTCTCGAGAGGATTGCGATAATTTGGTGAGTCCTTTGCATCCGTTTATACTATTGCTTTGCCGCATCTACTCATACAATCGTCTGAGTAGGATTGAACGATTTGGTCAAATACAGTGTTGGTTTTTGTGAGAACACGGCTGACGTCAGGATTCGAACTCTGATTATTCAGGAAGTTCCGCTTTGGCTAGATTTATGGCCAGACGTAAGGGTCCCCTCGAACCTCTCCCTTCACGCCAAACTTCCGATCCGTCTGCGTCTAAGATCGTGAATATGCCTGAGAGTATACCGGAGTCTTTGGAAGAAAAGAAAGAAAGTAGACGGACTTCCATGACGGATATCGTCACTGGGTTTATTTCTTCTCTCTTGGGTAATAGGAGTGAGACTCGTCCTTCCTCCCCATCGATCCCCCTGATATCGGATCTTACCAGTGATCCGACGCCTTCTCGATTGACCGATCCAGGTGTCGATACGTTCAACAAGCCATCCTCTTTGGGCGAACAAGTTCAACAAGCGGTCTCTGTGAGCAAACGCGATGAACAAGAAACCTCGTCAATTGCGTCAACGGGAACCCGCAAACCGCTGAGTAACCCGATCCGACCATCCACCATTCTACCCGGTTTCAAAGTCCCATACATCCCTCCTCTCACTCGACCATCCGGAGCAGCTCGACCAACAGTAGCTTCCCAGGCCAAGACTTCCTTTTCCGTCTCTTCCACTCAACACAATTCCAAACCTCCCTCCAGGGTTGGACCGATAGTCAGAAACAATCGAAATCCCCTTCAGTCAGTTCATACCAACACGAACAAACCCCCAACATCATCAGCTTTCACTCAAGCAGCTCTGGCTCGTCTTCCAAAACCTCAAATGACAATGACTAAAACATCAATCAAAGAGACCGAAAGAGCTTCTCGGTTGGAAGAAAAGAAAAAGATGTTTGAAAGTCTTTCCAAAACTCTGAACCCTAATTCGGAGAAAGTGTCAACGCTCAAGAGTGACAGAAGAGAGATGAAGAAGACAATACCGGTTAGTGGGAAGACACCGGGGAAAGCAAGTAGGATAAGAGCGGAGGAAAGGGCGAGATATGATGAGGAGATGAAGAGAAGAAGGGAGATGAGGGAGAAGAAATTAGAAGGGACGGAGAGATTGAAAGGGGAGATTGAAAATGAAGAATGGAGGATGAGAAGGAAAGAGACGGTAATTTGGGCTCGACCTGTGCCGGAAATGTATAAGAAAAGTTGAAAGGTTATGTTTGAGAAGTTGCGTGTTGTTTGAATGTTGATATGATTGTATCGTCTTGTTACGACATGGGTGTATTCAGTTCGTTAGATCGTCATGATTCGTTTTCTTCCCAGGGTACTATGCACTCGAAGTAATATACACTCCTAGTAAATGGTAAAATAACCCTATTACCGGTACTTTAGATGAAAGCGGGGCTCCTCTTCAAGTTTCCGTCGGAAACAACACTCTCATCAACTTTCCCTTCCACTTGCACCACTGACGTTCTCAATCTTCGCCACCAATAATCATGTCCTTGCCACCATTCTTGATATACCCAGCATCACAGTCTACTCCATCCTCCTTGGTGTCGTCATCAGCAGAAGATAAAACACCTGATATCCCGTCAAAAGCCCCAACGGTCAAATCAACACCACCATCACAAGATCGTCTTTTCGCTTTATACTCGTTCACCTCTTCTCAACGCACCACGAACCCCACAGGTTATTCCGTAAATTTATCATGGTGGTCTAAAACCCTAGAAGATGTTCTGAGTGGGGGTTGGATGGTAGATAGGTTAATATTGAGAGTAGGGGATGGTTTAATAAGTCGTTTAGAATGGGAAGGTAGGAGGGTTAAGGGTTTAGGAGGTGTTATCGTGAGTGACTTCTACTATCTCCTTTTTCACAGGTCACACTCTCTTCTTTGTTTAATGAATAATGACCAATTATGGTTGTTTTGATGTCAAATAATGGGTGTCAGGAAAGAGAATGTGGATTCATGTGTTGATAGAATTAGGAACATCTTTCACATACTTCCCCTCCAACTCTTCATTCATTAAATCATTTCTTATCCTCCCAAGCCCCGTTATTACAACCACCCTCTTTGAGTAGAAGATTTATCGGTACACCTTTATGGTGGATTTTAAATCAATTAAATCCTTTCAATTCTGGTGAAATGGAATCAGAGGGTAGTTTGTGGAAGAGATATAAAGGAGATTATGTTCATTTGGGGTTATTACAAGTGAGTCAAGGCTCTACACTTTTGAGATCTCATCCCTCTCCTGTACTCCCTTCATTTTCCGAAGTACAGATGGTTATATTGCTGATGGAATTTCTGCGAAGATCCACCTTGAGGATTATTATTGACCATCAGCAAGTAACATCAGCCTTCATCTCTTACATCCGTTCACATCCTCCAACAACATACACTGAATCTCTCCATTCTACAAAATCGTTCATCGTCACCTTCTCCGTCATATGTATACCAAAAACATGGAAGAAGATACCCGATGGTGAGGCAGAAGATAAATTGAGTGATCAAGATATGAAAGTTTTGTTAAAGTGGTTGGAGAGGGATTGTGGGGTGTTGGTAACGGATGGCGAGGTGAGTTCTCTCTCCTTCTCTTTCCAATTACCTCTTGGATCTGTGTAAACGATGCGTAGATATATTTACTCCTCTTTCCTTTATCATCTTGGATCTGGGAAAAGTTACTTAGACAACTTTTCGCCTCTCTCCTTTCATCATTACAAATATGTGCAGAAAGATGCTTCGACAATTTCTCTCATCTCTTCATTCGTAGACCAGTGCAATCATCCTGAATCTGGGCGAACGATCCCTAAACAAAGTTCCTCCACTTTTTACTCCTCGATCTGAATCCGGGCAAAAGATGCTCAGACAATCTTCTTCTTCTTTTGTCTCTCCAACCAAGGCCCGGAAATAAGATGCTTGGAGGATCGAAGGCTGACTGAGAGGTCATCAAAATCCTCTCGGAAAGCCAAACGGGAGAATCAATCACCGAGGCTGATCGAGGAACTTTGCAAGTTTTGACCACGTTGAGAAAGGTGGACGAACAGGTGGAGAAGCTGGAGGAGGAGATACAATTGTGAGTGTCCGTCTCTTTCATATCACCCTTTCGTTTGCTCAAACAATCAAAACTATACTCAAAGAGAGGGCTTTGCATAGTCCCGTCTCTCAGAGTCCGAGTGCGAGTAGCACGCCCAAGCGATGATTTCCCAAAATTCTTGACTTGGACCAAGTATTGGAATGTTCACTGACTGCAGATGCCAAGAAAAGGCAAAGAAACACCTTTCCTCTGGACAAAGGACATTAGCTATATCTCGGTTAAGAAGCAAAAAAGCTCTCGAGGATGTCCTGGAGAAAAGACTAGGCGCAGGAGAACAACTCAGAGCTGTGGTGAGGAGTGTTGATCAAGCTCAGACGGATGTAGAGGTGAGTCAACGTTTCACGATACCTTCCCCTTACCTATCCTCTTCTCGTGTTCTCCCTGTTGTACTCTCTGCTTGCTTTACTCCAGCGCTGGGAGACTATCATTTGGTACGTACCTGATACACAGGTCATGGCAGCTTATCAAACCTCCACTTCCACCTTACGTCAACTTCTTTCACACCCTTCCCTCTCACTTGACAAAGTGGAGGAAACCACAGAAGCTCTCGCTTCCGCTCTGGCAGATCAGAGAGAGGTAGACGATGCCATGGCTATCGGCGAAAAGATCTTGGTACAGAATGCGGTGGACGAGGATGATTTGGAGAAGGAATTGGAAGCAATGGTCAAAGACGCGGAGGAGGTGCAGAAGAAAGAGAAGGAAATGGCAGAGGCATCACTCGCTCGAGCTGCTGAGCGAGCTCCAGTTCACAATGTACCCCAACGGGAGAAGGTTGATACGATTGCGACCTCTCGGTTGGCCCGTAGTATCATCTCTGACGAGGGAGCTGGGAAACGAGTCGAGACCCCGCTGGCTATGGACGACGAGCTTTCCCCCGTGGGCGAAGTTGGCACCAGTGTCAGGCAAAAGTCTTCACTGGTTGAGGGTCAAGATTCTCAGTGGGAGGAACGATATCTTGCTGCTCGGGAAAGAGAGGTAGGGGAGAAGATGAGAGCAGAGAAGGAAAGGTTAGAGAGACAGATGGTAGTTGAATGATTGTAGTAGGTTTTTCCTTTTCCCATTCTCCTCTTATCAACCTCAATGTTTTCATAAGCTACGTAGACTATCGATATACACCGAGACTGATTATACAGACTTCTATGATGACGCTTGAACTTGTACCACTAGCATATACGATGATGAACCATTTGACCTATCATGTCTCATTCTACCCCTTGCAATCACCACGATCTTAATCACCCGCCAGTCGTATGGAAAAGGCAACATCGTTCTTCCCTTCCTAGTTGCTCTCCCAACTTGACGACTCAGCTACGACCGTGGGATTTTACACGAATCATTCCGTCTATCCTTCACGAACCACTCGCGATGCTGAATGTCAACGGATCACCACCTCTAGTCTGACGCCTCTGGCGTGACTTCTCCAGGGTGGGTGGGGGGGGGGGGGGAGGGTATAGACAGGATAAGGGATTTTCATCGCCCCTGCGTCATCATGACCTCCACGCCCCAGTGTAGCAAGTCACCACTCCACCCGAACGATCAGTATCGATGACGTCGACATTTGAAACCTGCGGACCAGAGGTATCCCTCCATTCATAAATTGTAAAGTTTCTCACGGAAGGATTTGATGGACAGGAAGAGAGGAGATCTTAAACCCCCACTTCAACTTCAAAATAGAAAGTCGAACTATATTCCCCTATTGAAGCAGGCTGTTATCCTCGGTCCAACCTCTGGTCCCTTACCAGAATCCGAAGAGATAATAAAAATGGCACATACGATTTACATTCGCCGCAGATTCAAGGAGATAGTGACCGGAGGTGAAACTTCAAATGATACCAAAACAGTCACCCTCCTGCTAGCACCTTTAATCCGTATATCTGATCGGTTTACTGATACCGCAAACTCTCCTTCTAGTGTGATCTCATATGCCAGTAACGCCAATAGTGGGGATGTTGATGACAAGGAAATACCAGACTTGACCATTGACATGAGCAGGACGGCCATCCTATTCAGCGGGCCCTGGACACCTGAAGAGAGATCCGATTTCAAAGACAATGCTGGCAAGAAGTGGACACTTGCTACTTTGCATCTTGATAGTGTTGAGGGTACCCCAAAATGGGCTCACAACGTTTTGGATGCTTGGGATGTGTTGTACCCCACCTTCACACCGGAGGAACAAGAAAAAGCACAAGATGTTTTATCAGACATCCCAATTTCAGATCAGGCCTTCAAAGAGATGATAATCTCCACTCTATCCGCCCCCCTTGACTCCCTACTTGGCGGAGTGACGGATGATAGGTATGCAATTAAACATGTCTTTGCCCATTTGGAAGACTATGATCGTCGGGTGGAACAAGCAGCCAGTAGTAGATAGAGGAAGCCCAAAACAAATGACCAACCCCACATACAGGTGGTTGCAAGGTCTCAGATGTGTGATTCTGGCTGAAGAACTATAGAATAGTGAAGTAGGAATGCATGAGATAACCAAAGGCATTTGATCTACCATAATGGTCTTTCCGCAAAGCCGGGGATCATATATTGCCCTTTGCAGTCCGGCCTGCCGCAATGAGATGATGTCAGGACCAGTACGGATAGTGAGATCAACTCCTCTGGTCAGAGTCCATGTTATGTCATTGGGAACATTCATGATTGAGAGATAGCTAACAGGTCGGGATACCCAACCAACATCTTTCGATGAGAGTTGAATAGTTTTCAATGTGGGCGTAGAGATTTATTGATTAGAGGGAAATTACAGTCCGTCATTGGATATATTGGTTTTTTGTTTTGACGTTCATCTTGTTGAATCATTTGCTTTGCATTAATCAGTTAAGCTGTTCAACTAACGTTTAGATAAGTTCACAATCCATCCAAGATACCTCTCCACAATACCTCTCCACAATTCCTCTCCACGAATACCCACTCGTCAATCGTGCCGAACCCCGAAAGGTGTTCAGTGTGAAGATATCCGCAAACGAAAGATCAAGACGCTCACGACGCTTCCTTGTGGGGTGATGGTCCAACACTTTAGTGGATCTTTTGGTATGGTAAGAACTCGTTTTCAGGTGGTGTAGGTATACGTGCTTCCAACCCCAACGACTTGACCTTTTCTCCGTGCGTCACTTCCTGATATCTCCACACTCGATTACCCCTCGAATCTTACGTATATACTTTGAGAATCTTGGTTTCATGGTCGATTTTAGCAGAATACTTTGTCCTTCTCATCATGTAGTAGCAGGCAGTGGAGTAGTGAACATGACGACTTGAACTAGTAGATGTTGGCCGTTGGAAACCATGATGGATGACGTTTTTGGATCAAACAACCGTGACACCTCAACGTCTCTACAATTATTCCAAATTCTAACCTCCAACCTTTCAGGTATATTCCGCATGGATTGCTCCGCTTCCATGGCTCCACCAATTGGCGGCCCCACCAGTATTGAGGATGATGACGTTTACATAACTACTCCAACTGCCCGTCCGCCGCCGGAAATGGGTGACGGGAGGAAATGACGTCGCAATCGTCATTTCTCCGGGGAATCTCTCGATTCATTACCCGGGACGTGTAACCCAGGAAATCACGGCCAACGCGTCTCCACTGAACCACCAATCCACTGACGTTTTGATGACTAGAAGTGGGTAACGATGAAGGGAAGGTAAGTGGGTAATATTTCAGTCATGAATTCTTCTCCACCCTCTTGAGGATTATAAATATCAAGGGTTGAATGGTTGAAGAACCAAGTAATCCTCTACAATCATACTTACAAGTACCTTCTAGAAACAAGGAGTCACAACTTATAATGAACGCAACTTTTGTTCTCCCTAAGGATATAGGAGAGACGCGTGATTGGCCTAGTCAATCCGCTTCGACGGTCACTCTGCTCCTAGGACTTGGAGTCTCCTTTGACAGCCAAGGTGTCAGGCTCAAGTCTAGTAAAAGTGATGAGTACGACATCCTCACCGTCTCTGTTCCGGATACAACGGTCTCTGGTATACAGACAAAAGGAAAGAAACCCTGTCAACCCATCTTGGTGGAAATTGAGTTGAAAGCTTGTCGTTCACACGGTGGTAAGTGGAACGACAGGACTAAAACAGTTAGCAAAAAACTAGATGTGTTTGATTGGAATCGCTTGATTCTCCTTCCGGTTGAAGGTAATGATTACCCATTCCTTGCTCATGATCATTTCATTCAATCCCATGGAGGTTCTCATCTGCCTCTGGCAGTTCGAACCCTATCCGACGGTCTAGACTTCCTGTTCTCTGAGCTTGGAGATGAAGAAGCTCAGATAGCACGAACTATGCTTGCGTCGAACAATGTCTTAGACAAAACCCACCATTGGGATGACAGGTGTAGAAGTATCAAAACCCTTCTAGACAAGGAGATCTATGATCCGCTTAGATGGTGCTTTGCTTCTGAGGAAACACGACAGACTGGTGGTGTGCCACACTTTATACTTGTTACCGTGGACGCTTACGATTATCTCCTCAAGCAAGAGCCGGACCCTCCTCTGACAACGGACGGTGGCTATCGTGACTTTGACGCATGTGAGAGAGAGGCGTATCAGTCACTTGCTTCAGAGGCCAGGTAAGCGATTATTGATTAGCATGATTGGACCATAGGGTGAAGGAATGAATACGATGAGAGAGAGAGAGAGAGAGAGCGCATTACACAAGGTAAAGAGGTCTTGAGCAGTGCTTTGTGTACACTACAAGTACTCAAACTGTATCGGGCCAACTGACCTCACCACGCGGTCCCAAATACAGAGATCTCACCTGATTGAGCGACCGAAGAGGCTGATGTTACACTGAACCCTGATACTAAGATTCTGTTCAGGGAGTGTCAGCTACGAAGGACCTAGTGAGGATAGATATGCTTACCTGTTTGATGTAGAATTGGAGAAAATGGGGAAGGGGGTGAAGAATGGGGAAGGGGAAGGGGAGGGGAAGGGAAGAGGGAAAAGAGAAGGAAAGTGGGGGAGGGCCGAGGGGGATCCCTTGTTCCTCCGTGGGCTTGGCGTCTCTGGATTTGATGCACACTAGAGGAGTGAGAACAGAGGGCAGTCACGGAAGAAGGGAAGGTGAGAAATTTGAGAGAAGTTTCTCAACCTCTTCACTTTCTGATGTTGGGAAAGCAAGCATAAGAAGAGAGAAGCACATTAATTGATTATCAGTTTCAGTTTGCCACCACTCTTCCTCAATAATCCCCAAGTGAGTGTTTGATCATGACTGACAACACTTGTGAGGCATCTACAGAGTTTGAGAACGGCAACAATTGGCGCATACGCATATGTGGAGTGAGAAAGCTCTCAGTCACATTCTTCATCAAAATCACCATGAAAGGCTCAGTGCCTAGTTCTACTTCTTCCCCAGGGCAGGATTCTGTCAATAATGAATGTCCACCCATCAAACTCATGCTGAAGACTGCCGTGTTATACAGTGGTAAGTGTGAGGCTTCTAGGTGGAGGTCTTTTGAAAGGGAAGCAGAGCTGTGGAGGAAAGCCTTCTTGAGCTATCAGGGAGCAGACCCTGGTATTGCATCTGCTGTCTTTGATGGCCTCTCCCAGGGATGGAACAGCTTGAGTGAACAAGAGAAAGTGACAGCTCGTGAGATATTATTATCCGATGAGGAGCCTGACATGGGCAACAATTTCATTGCAGCAACCACAACTAAATTGAATGATGCAATCACTGAATCAACCAATGGATTTCTTGATAGACTACCTCAACAGATTAAGAGCTGCATTATCAATTACAGTTCAGCATCTGGACCTCAATATGATTGTCTGTTAACACAACGCTATAGACCCAGCCTGGTGAACAGCAAAGGTACACGCAAGTTAAGAGCCTGCCTTAATGCTTGCAGCATTAATTGTTAGCCGATAGAATCGGGCCAGGACGGCCGAACCGCCGTTAGATAATTACCCCTTCCGTCGAATATTTCTCCGTTCAACTTATCCTCTGAACTTTATTCGATCGTCTCTGGTTTTATGCGTGTGAGTGGAATGTGATAAGTATAGAGACATGTAGAATTGATGCATGCTCTTTTTCCCCTCTGTATTACCATCTAATTATCAGAAAACAGATTAACAGTCGGAAGTCCACATACCTCTGTGTATAACTAAGGCAAGTTCCTACTTCTACTCCTCTCATAATGTCCTCAGTGTCGACTAAGATTTCGTTTGAGAATCTCCCCAAGTTATCCTACGATCCATCGACGTATGCTTCGTGGAGGAAGGCGATCGAGGTGTATCTACAGATAGGCGATGTATGGAATGTCGTCTCAGGTAATGATACCGAACCTGGTCGCGAAGGGGTTAGGCCGGCAGCTGAGAGGGCGGGATCAGTACCTCCTACCACGCCCGTCGAAGGGCAAGTGGTTGGTAGAAGGATTACTGGAGAAGAGTTGAAAGAGTGGGAAAAGTGGCAAGCGAGGGAGAATAAAGCGCAAGGGATGATCAAGGGAACAGTGACGGAAGCTGTAATGCTTGATTTATCTGAGAAGATGTCAGCTAAAGAGATGTGGGATTACTGCTTGAAAATGCACGTAACAGCCACGAACGAGAATCAGAGGAACGTCCGTCAAGCATTGTTTAGCTATGACTTGAGGGAGGATGCGACGGCCGAAGAAATGGCTAAGCATGTAGAGGATTTCTCGAAGACAATGGCTGAAGCGAAATTGGTGGGATTGATCTTTGACTCACAGGCACGAGCAGGTTTATTCCTCAATACCATCCTAGCACCAGCATACAGGATCATCCACGTAGAACTAATGTCCGTACCTGAAGAGGAGAGGACATGGGACAAAGTGTTGTCGATCTTTAACGCAGAAACAGCGAGACGTAAGGCGCGCCCTGTTGGTAGGACCAATAGAAAGGGATTCGCGATGTTCGCCGAAAGGGATAAAGGAATGAGGGTGAACCGAGATAATATCTCTGATGGTCAGCCCAGGAAAGAAACTAGAAAGTGTTATAACTGTGACACTGTAGGACATCTAGCGAAGTACTGTCGTAAACCTAAAAGAGAGGATACGAACAGGAAAGAAAACGCAGATGTAAAGGATGGAGGTAAAAAGAAATGGAGGAATAATAAGAATAATAAGAAAGGACATACGGTCTCGAAGGATGAGAACCAGTCCAAGGATAACTCCAAAACCTCCTTGATGTATTCGTCATTGGATGGTGAACACGAGGCATGGGCCGGGATGGCCATGTCGACAGAATCGTGGTTCGATGATGACGAAGGGTACATGAGTAACATCGTATGGCCCGAAGAAATTGAAAACCCGTGGGTTGAGGATAATGAGTGGGTGGGATTGGCTACAGAGTCTAATGACGTGAGCCACACTCGTGTAATCCCCACCTGGGTAGTGGATAGTGGTGCTACTCACCATATAACTCCTCACAGGTCGATAATGACGAATATTAAAAGGCTAGTGGAACCGAGAGTGTTCGGACTAGCATCTGGCAAGTCAATGACGGCTTGGGAAACAGGTGACATTAACCTCGAACTAGATTCAGGACAGAAAATGGTACTGAAAGATGTACATCACGTCAGCACAGCAAAGATAAGTCTTCTCTCCCTCTCGAAGTCACTCTCATGGGGGTGGAAAGCGAATCTAAGTAGTGGTGGTGGATGGATAGGTAAAGGTAAAGAGAAACTAGGTTTGAGGAAACATGACTCACTGTGGTCGGTACGATTCGGCAGAGCAATGTCTGCTGCGATGATCGTGATATCGACACCGAAGGCGACTTCACCACTTGAATCTGAGCATCAGCGACTCGGACATATAGGTGTAGATAAACTAAAGAATCTAGGTAGACAGGGACTATTGAAGAAGGACTGGGACACTTACAAGAACGATCCCTTTACAACTGATAAATGTCCCGCCTGCATGCAGGCCAAGATAACACGTCTACCGAAGAATAAAGAAGCACCAATGTTAAAAGGAGATGGTGAAGGAGTAGGAATGGATGTCGATATTACTGGTCCGTTCGGTCCGGCTATAAAAGGTGAACGATATTTCTTCGTTGGTGTGGAAAGGGCGAGTCGAATTGTATTCGCTATACCAATAACGACGAAGAACGAAGCGTCTGATATCGTTCGACAGTGTATCTCAAAATTGGAGAAACAGCTTGGTGAAAGGGTGAGAGTGATTAGGTCTGATGGGGGAGGTGAATTCGATAGCCTCGATATGAGGGAATTCTACCTGTCAGCAGGGATCAACCACTACATCACACCGAGATACACACCAGAATTAAATGGAGTGGCGGAAAGAATGATACGTACCTTGAAGGGGATGGTATCAACGATGTTGTTTGACTCAGGACTACCGAACGAATATTGGTCCTATGCTGTCAGATACGCCGCCATCATAATTATGAAAACATCGATTGGTGTGAGCGGTAAATCAGGCTGGACATCACTCACAGGAAGAGACACGAACCTAGATAGCGTGTGGAGATTCGGTGAACGGTGTTTTGTTCAGATACCAAGGGAGATAAGGCTGAAGTCGAACTTCACGACACCTAGGGGTTCATCAGCCATTATACTAGGTCAAGATGAGGGTGTGAGCGGTTGGATCGTTAGAATGGACGGATCGGGACGAATCGAACACTCACGAGACGTTCGTCGCTCGACAGGACGAATGGTGACTACTAGAGAGTCGCCCGATGTCATCCAAACCCCTCTCGACGCCATCGAAGTAGACCTAAACCCCGTTGTCAACGAAGAAATTTTCCTTGACGACCGCTCAGAAAGTGGCGAACAGGAAAATATCGATAATGAACAAGGAAATGATGTCGACAGAGACAACTCACCTAATACAGGTCCACAACCTACTGAAAGACGACGTGGACAGGGCATTTGGGGAGGAAATTGGGTCTATGAGAACGATATCGTCGAAAATGAGAGAAATGATGAGGAAGGAAGAAATGATGGGGACGAGGGGATCGTGACGACACGTCACGGACAAATTATTCGACCCCCCCACCGTTTCGCAGGCCTAACAGACTCGTTCCTAGACTTCAGTCGCGAGCCTAATAAGTTAGTCTCACTCGCCTCTATCGCAGGTATCGAAAGTGATACTTCTCTCATTGATCCTATCTCTCCTGAAGAAGCAGTAAACGGCCCAGATGGTGAGAAGTGGCTAGAATCCATGGAGAAAGAGATATCCAACATAGAATCTAAGGATACATGGGTGGAGACGGTACTTCCACCGGGACGAAAAGCCATTGGATGTAAATGGGTATTCAAAGTGAAGACAGATTCTGAGGGAAACTTACTAAAGTACAAGTCACGACTAGTAGCTCAAGGTTTCTCACAGATACCAGGTGTCGATTACGAAGAAACATTCGCACCTGTAGGTAGATCGGGGTCATTGCGAATACTCTTGACTATAGCAGCAACTGAAGATCTTGAAATTCGTCAGGCCGATGTCGAAGGGGCGTATTTAAACGGTAAACTCGATGTCGAAATTTACATGAAGTATCCCAAAGGGATAAAGCCGAAACCTGGATGTAATACCTTGAAGTTAATAAAGTCTCTTTACGGTTTAAAGCAATCTGGTAGGACATGGTGGATAGAACTCGGCGAAGGATTATCTCACCTAGGTTTTTCAAGAATCGAATCAGATTGGGGTCTTTACTACAGACCAGAAGGGAAAATCGAAGGAAAGGGAGCAGCAATACTGCTGGCCTATGTCGATGATCTGGTATTAGCCAGGAAATCGAAGGAAGAAGCTAAGGAAATTTTCGATGGGCTAGGTAAAAGATGGATAATAACCGACCTGGGGGAGATAAGTACTATCTTAGGTATGAAGGTAACAAGGAACAGAGAAGAAAAGACGATATGGTTAAACCAACCAGCGTACATCGATAAGATAGTTCAGAAGTTTCCAGAAAACGACTTACATCGAGACCGAAAAACACCGTTACCTCTTACTGCGAAAAATCCTTCGATGTCGGAGGTGGAAAGTGAAATTCGACCATTTCAAGAGTTAATAGGATGTCTACAGTGGTTAGCCACATGTACTCGACCTGACATATCATATGCAGCCTCATACCTTGCTAGGTACCTTACCAAACCGACGAAGAAAGTATGGGAGGAAGGGATAATGGTAATTACCTACCTTCGGTCCACTCGTTTACATGGTATTCGTCTCGGTGGCGAGGCTAGCGATCTAGCAGGATGGGTTGATGCCGATTGGGCAGGTTGTAAAGACACACGACGATCAACTACTGGTTGGATATTTATGATGAACGACTCACCGATAACATGGAGTTCAAAAAGACAAGCTACGGTATCGTCGTCGACAGTGGAAGCAGAGTACATCGCGATGGCTGAAGCAGCGAAGGAAGCTCAGTGGTTGAGAGGATTATTGAGGGAGATAGGCTACGATCAGCTAAATCCTACTATATTAAATTGCGATAATCAAGGATCGATATCACTAGCGAGAAAACCTGGTACTCACCAGAGGACAAAACATATTGATATTCGACATCATGCCCTTCGAGATCTAGTCAGTAATAAAGTTATTGAACTAGAATACGTCAGCACTGTCTATCAGCGAGCAGATGTACTCACGAAAGCTTTAGGTGGACCAGTACATTCGGTGAATATGTCAGCGATACGGGTAGAACCACCGAAGAAGAAAAACATTGGTTCAGTATACGTGACATTAGATGATGATGAAATCGTCGATTACGATTATTCAGATTTCGAGGACCTAGGAGATCTATCAGGTGGTACAGAGAACGAAGTGGTACCAAGGAACGAAGTGGTACCAGATACAGAGTTGGTATCAGACAGAGAAGTGTGGGTGGAAGGAACTTCAGAGAAACCCACCGAAGGTACCACCGAAGGAAAAGTTCTCGTGAGCCAAAATGTAAAATTTTCGGGTGTACCTATGAATGTGAGTAATTCTAAGATAGGTCAGAAACCACCGGTAGAACCTAGAATCATTAGAGAAATGAAAGAGAAGAGTAGGATGAGAAGAGATAAGACGATACATAGGAGGGATACTACTCAACCTCCATCGTCAAGTCCACGAACACCGGGAACTTTGGCTGGTAGCCAGCAACCTTATATCCACCGAGGATATTCTCAAGTTTATCGTGGAGAGAGTCCACAGCATCAACAATCTCTTGTACCCTCTCGTGGGTTACCCCACCTTCCAAAAGAGCGTTTCCTATCAAAAGGAAATGTTTGTCTAGGTTCGACTTCAATATCCCCAGTTCAAATTTCACCTTCTGGGAAAGATCTCAAACTCAATAAAGTTCATGGTATGACTGACAGACTTACAGTCGGGAGGATTGCTGGGGAGCAACCTAAGAGCAGGACGATCAGACGGTCCAGGGACCGAGGGAGAAGCAATGGTCGAAAGAACGGAGGCAGGAACTTGGGCCATGATAACGATGCGGTTGCTACTAATGATAATAGATATCGTCAGCCAGGGACACGGAGGAATTTCATCGATTCTCGGGAGTCTACTAGCAAACCGGAAGTTTTAAGAAGTAGACAGGACAGAGGGAAGTTCAGACAGTCAGAAACGAGTGATAAAAGTGGAGAAAAACGAAAGGTGGACATACCGATAATTGGAGATAAAAGTGATGAAGTAAAAGGAATGATAGAGAAGAGTCAGTCGTCAGTAGTGAGTGGTAACCACGTGACAGAGCGGAGCCCCGCAGGGGGCCCCACAGAAATTCATTTCACGATTTCACCTACCACTACTACCACACACATAACACTCAATATTTCGTCATTACTACCTTCTACATCATCACAAACCCCGCCGTCGCCATCGATAAATCGTCCGGGACTACTGCAGAGTCGTGCATTGTCCCGTGGGGGAGTGTTAGCCGATAGAATCGGGCCAGGACGGCCGAACCGCCGTTAGATAATTACCCCTTCCGTCGAATATTTCTCCGTTCAACTTATCCTCTGAACTTTATTCGATCGTCTCTGGTTTTATGCGTGTGAGTGGAATGTGATAAGTATAGAGACATGTAGAATTGATGCATGCTCTTTTTCCCCTCTGTATTACCATCTAATTATCAGAAAACATTAATGAGGTTTAAGAGGGTCTTCATATGATTAGTACTTATGAAACACAGGAATGCATGTCATGAAAGGAGAGAGAGTACTACTGTCTCAAGACATATGAGGGAGAGGGCTAACCAGATTCAGGATTGATGTGCCAGAATTGATTCAGCATGTTCCTGGCTCTTGAATTTGGTACTCAATTGTTCACCTACACAACACTTCAGATAGACAAGAACAGGTAAGAGTAAGCAAAATGCCCTTCCAAACCTGACCGGACTGTGAGATCAGGCTTGCAAACAGAAAATGCATAGGTCATAGTGAAACATATCTAGAATAACTCAATTTCATGACCATTTTGTCACAAGATGTTCTGATACGAAGGAAGGCTTTGGTCCAGTTGTTATGTTTGTTGGATATGGGTTTGAACTAAGAAGTTGGATTGGGTATTTCACTGGCAATCAATGATTGTGGACATCACTGTTTGATAGACCTTTTGAGTGGAAACGGAGGGTAGTGTCATACGACTGGACACTGATTAGTCTCGTTTCGTGACACCACCATGATAACTCATGCTTTACCTCAAGGCAATACTTTTAGTGTGGACTGCTTTAGTTATTTCAAATTTGACAATCTCAATCTAATGCATATGAGGAGAGAGAGAGGGAGCGCATTCAAGGGGCAAAGGACATGACCTATGACTCATCTCTTGGCCCACTTGGTTTGCCATCTCTACATCTTGAGCAGGCAGCCAAATCAAATGCACGGAAGTAGAATCATGTGTAGAAACAATGATGACCCGTTGCAGTGCTTGTTTGGGGAGATTCTCCCTTTGGTTCCTGTCTCCTAACTCACTTTCAAAGAGCAAGCGTGATTGTGTGAGCAGATTGATCTCTTGCAGAATCCTGTTACCCAGACATCCACTTGACTGGTTCAGCACAGGTAGTAAGTATCTCTCAATCTATCACAAATAACAGAAGTAAGAAGTATACGGGAGTTGATAGCGCTTTATTGGAGACTGTCAGGACCAGACGTTTAAAACAGTCTGCTTCAATGAGCTATGGCTATAGGGCCTCGTAGGGGACAGACCTAGTGATGTAGTGGATAGAAGATCAAAGAGACTCTTTAGTCAATGAGATCAAGTGGTAAATGATATACTAAGTGACAAGAGAATACATTCAACAAGACATCTATGAAGGGGGGGCCTTTTTCTATATGATGAAAGGGAAGCAGAGTGATACATACCAAAATCTATGGAGTAAAGATGGAAAATATCATGAGGTAGAAGAGCAAAGGAAGACAGAGAAAGACGGAGAAAGATGAGGGACACAACAATGAAGGAAAAGTATTGCAGGATGAAGAAGTAGCGACTAGGTGTGAAAGGAGAATGGGAAAGTCCGTACCGGGATAGGAGATAGGTGAGATGGAGACGGGAACGGGTGAGATGGAGACGGGAACGAGTGAGGTGGAGTACGACTCTGAGGAACCCGTCTTAGGTATCCGTGATCCTGACACAGACAAGGAGGAGGAGATAGCTTGAGAGGATGAGACGTTCACTTAGGGCCGGATTTTTAAGCACTGATATGATTTTTTCGCACTGCAATCACACACTCTTTGGCGCACTAACTTATCCTGCTATTCTAGTGCTGCAATTCTCCTCAAAATCTGAAGTAGAAGCCTTGTCATTCCTGGCTTCCTGAATTGAACAAGGGAGATACCTGAGGATGATGGGGAAATACAGGAGGAAGAGGGAACGGGTGGAGGAGAAGGCGGATCCCTTGTCCCGCTATGTTCACGTATTTCTTGGCTTTGATGCATCAGAGGAGTGAGCTCTGAGGAAAATCTTGTTTGCCAAGCTGCTTTCCATGTCTTCTGAAGGAAAAGGATAAATTGAGTTCAGTCTGTCTGCTTCAGACTTCTTCTCTTTCACTAGCCAAGTACCTCCACCCTTTGAAATCTTACAAACATGACCATTGTCACGTATAAGGCTCCTACTTCTTTGAAGAGGGAGTATGGTGGCAGACACCACGGCGTAAGTATCAACAGCCTACAACGTTTTCAGTGAATGTCATTGTCTCGTTCACCCTTATGGTAGGTCCTTCGTCCCATACTCCGTCATTCCAGTCCATTGCCACATCCCGACGCATTGTTACCCTATCACAGGAGCAGCAAGGTACTGATAGTGAATGTCCAAGTATTGACATTGTTTTGAGGGCAGGCACTGTGTTCTCTAGATTGTGTGGCCAAGATAAGAAGACCAAGTTTTTGAACAAGACTCCCTACAGGAATCTGCTCCTGATGACTGGAGACACTCCTCCAGAGATGATAACTGCAATGTCTGAGGGCTGGCCGGACATCTGGAGTAAGCTCAGTGCAGAGCAACAGGCAGCATTTTGGTGGTTTTGCAAATGCTAAACCCAAACAAATAATTCAGGACATCAGTGAGCCAAGTGAAGAGGACACGGCAGCAATTCCACTGGTCACAGGCACTCAAGAGGTGCAAATCGGTGACTCTGTGAGGGCACTTGCTGAACATTTGAATGATGGGTTTAGGATACTAGTGCAGAATAACCTGAATAGCATTGCACCCCAGGATAGTGGTGCGGAATCCCGCGTCCAGGTACATTTAGTGGATGAGAGACAGTATTACTCTTTGATCTGCCAGCCACACAGTCCTCAACTGTGTGATGCTGAGGGATTGTTTGATATAGGGGCTTGCTTGGCATTATATACTACACAGTAAGCAATTTGACCAGTTTGCGAAGGTTCAAAGGTGCAGTGAAACACAGGAATGCATGATGAGATGAGAGGGAGCGACTTCTCACTCCACATGAGGAAGAGTGTGCTGCAGCAACCCAAGTTTCTTGATCTAGATGTGCGATGTCCCACTTTGTTTTTTCATGACTTCACCCAGAAAAGATAAGACCAGAAGCAACTGATGTGGAGCTTTGTCATTATTTGTTACTGTGCATACATCCACTCAAACTGCAGGATCAGGCCTGTAGATGAGGAGCTGATTAGTTATTGGAGGGTGTCACACAAAACAAAAAATCACTCAATCAAGAGTCACAACTGGTGAGTGAATGAGATGCTATTGCTTTGGAAAGCTCCCAGACATATCAAGTTTCACCAGCCCACACGGAATCAATCCAGACAGACAGAGGGAGGGAGCTTGTAAGAAGCCAGCGCTTCATCAAATTGGCTCTTGCCCAGACCATTTCTCCACATTTATGCAACACAGCCTTGTTAAAAACTGATTCTGGTACAGTATCCTTGGCTCTCTCACCCACTGACACCAATTCACAACCTTCTCTTGTGTGATAGTCTCTTCTGTATGAGATAAGAGCATGAGATGGAATTTTTGGCAGGATTGCCGGTAAACTTTCCCTGCTTCCTGGTGTCACCATATGACCTACCCAGGATAGCAGTGTGCAGACACTCATTGCCCGGTGATTAGCCGTACTCTCTTTCAGGAATCCCCGGACAGCCCCCAGAGGTTGGTGCGAAGTGTGACTTTACCTGTTGATGGGAACACCTAGATGTTTATGATGTACCAGATGCTCTACTCGCTCCATGAGGGAACCTCTACTCCCCAAGCATGAATCTTAGGAATTCACTACGACCGATCAATGCATTAAAATGGAGGCGATAACGTGAGACGCGTAGGTCGAACAATTTCCTCCCCCGGTTTACCCTCACCGGGGCGCGGAGTTGGTTTGGTAAACATGGTATACGTCATCTGAAAGTCGTACAATGGAAGGGTAGCCTTCTGAACTTCTCTCTTTACAGACCTCTGAGTACAGACTTAGACCTGCATCACACTGTCCTGTATCCTCTTCACTACTCTTTCCTGAAGGTACAGGCTGCACAACTCATGTCAGGCACATACATCACCAAGAAAGTACTTCCCATTGATGATAAGTGGTGTGTAAATATTGAAGGCACAAATGGCACGGAGGGTGAGACTACACAACACACCAAGCAAAGTCAGAACCCAACCAAAGCGGCAACACTCGTCCTTGCTGTAGAGATAGCTTGGAGCGACTACTATTTTTTCATTCAAAATCATGTTGATGACAGGTTTGACACAGTTCATTTCTCTGAACCCAGCACCAAAGTTGAACATTCCTCTGGGGAAACTGTGAGAAGCAATATCCCCAAATTGGTGATTGATCTGAGAAAGACTGCCATACTTCTAAGTGGGTGCTGGAGACCTGAAGATAGAGAAGTGTTCAAGACAAGATGCCGGGAAGTTTGGGACCCATGTATTAGGAAGACCCAAGGTACCGATCCTTCAGTGGTAAGACACATCCGACATGCCTGGAAATCCCTGTATACCAACCTCATACCCGATGACCAGCATTTGGCATGTCAGCTCTTGGTGCAAGGTAATAATCTCACAGGCGATTCTGCCAAGAGAGTTGCCACACAGCTGATGGAAGAATTGTACGATTCAATTGGTCCCAACATTCCTACACTCGACCTGCCAGACACGGATGAGCAGAAACTTACGCTCAAGAATGAAGAATACGATTTCCTCCTCTCTCAAGGCCCGGTGGAAAGCTGTCTGACAGGCAATCAATTACGTGATGTACCTCAGTGCCTGGCTATTTATTGGAAGGATGTTGATAGGTAATGCCATGTACCTACGATACGGATTGGGGATACGATTTTTGTTCTATAGTTGTTACGGGGTAACACCGACTCGAAGCAGTTTCATCAAACTCGACGGATCAGGATAGAGGAGGGCGAGAACTGGAGGCAGTGCTGTAATTAGGTAAGGATGGGTTTTCCCCTCCCGAGATTTCCCCACTGGGTTTGCTCAAAGTGGTTCTTCACCTGTCCAAGTGTGTACATAGACACTTGCAGCAGGAAGGAAAGGACACACAGGTACCTGTAGACAGTATATACTACAGTCAACGCCTAAAAGAACGCACCCCTCCCCCATTTTCCTCTCATCCGTACGCCGTTGATTCCGACCTGAATTCATGTATCTCATGCATCATTGATTCAAACGGTTTGGAACTTTCTCACACTAAGCAGTAGACCCTAATCCACCAGCTAGTAGTTGATACCAAACCCCTTATTTTGTGTAACCTCTTCCACCCGTGTTGGCATTGATTCCACTATGTTACTGATGATGTCAAGGGGTATCGCTTCCCATTTGTCACAAAGTGACAAGACAGTTTGGTTAGAGTTGGATCTGGGTTGGGTATTTAACCAGCGACCGGCAGTTTGTAGTAACCGCCGGTTAATAGGCCTTTTAGCACACTGGTTTAGGCCACTGTCTCTGAAGGGCACTGTTGTAGTGGATCTGACCATCCCCTACATACTGATCAGTACCGAGCTACTAGATTCTCTTCCAGACACCCCTACCCCTGTCTCTTGTCTGCCTATCATAGTCTATACAAGTGCTTATACGCACTTGCCTCAGTTACGCCTTCTTTACCTATAGTCTCTCTTGTCTCCTAGTATATAGTATTCACGCATAACGCGTCAAAGACGCAGATTCTGTCACGTCTTTCCTACGTCAAACGTCAGCTCATTTATGCATATAAGCCGGGTCTGAGGGGGATCTCTTCCTCCATTGTCTTTCTTCTCCCATCCTCTTTCTTCTCGCTTCTTCTCCTCCTTTCTCCTCCACCTCTCTCAGACCCTCTTTGGTTTCCCTGATACACTCTTTACTTACATCTACTGACCTTTGATCATTGCGGACTAGTATTATCCACATCACAGAGTTCCGATTCAGTATCCAGCCCTACGGGTAGGTTACATTTATTTATTTGTGGTGATCCTCACAAGCAGGATCATTACAATTGGGGCGCTCACCCGGATACTTCTGTCTTGTGGTTTAGTGCTAGTTCAACTTTGGTCATTGGTTAATGGATTAGTACTTGAGTAAGTCACCTAAACCTTTTACTCATTATCACTCAACCTTCCTTCACCATCATTCAATACTTGCTCATCATCACTTCATCCATCCTCACTATCATTCCATCTCCAAACATCATCACCACTACTGTTACGACCTGAGAGCTAGGCAGTGACCAAGACCTAACTTCAGAGGACAACAACGATGAAGGACGAAGTGATAGCGTAGAGTGGATTGGACGATGATGATGAAGAGCACCTCAGTGCTGAGGAAGGGTTGTATCGGAAGTCACTTAAACGAAGTGCGCGAGTGTAGCGAGCGCAAAGAGGATTGTGAAAAATGAGAAGTTTAGAAGTGTAACTTTTGAGAATTCATCGACAAGGAAGAGGGCTCGCGGAAGGGGTATTTATACCCTTGCGCCTCCACCTTGCCTCCACTTTCTAAATGACTAGTGTTCAGGCTTAGCCTGACCTACGGTATATAATTCTACCCAATGTGTCCAACATGACCAATGTGTCCAAGTTGACCAATGTGTCCAAGTTGACCAATGTGTCCAAGTTGACCAATGTGTCCAAGTTCACCAATATGTCCAAGTTCACCAATATGTCCAAGTTGACCAGTGTTTACGCTTAGCCTAAACAGTGGTCAAACATTGATAACCCAGATTCTCATTTGCCACTCTAATGCCACATCATCATGTATGACCTGCTTCTGTGCAGTGTCATAACAACTACTCCTTCACCTATCCTCTATTGACTTAAACCTTATCAACAACCCTTGGCTACTACTACTGGTTAGTAATACCATCAACAACTATCAAACACAACATCTCAACAAGAATATATTAACGACTTAACGACTACTATCTGGCCAGATATAACGACCCAAAAGAGAAATAAATGTATAGAAATCAAACAAACAAAAAAAAAGCAAGCTGAGTTCAATTTCTTTTCTTTTTCTTAATCAAAATACAGTACAGGTCCATCGCCTGTAAAGCTAACTTCTAGATCTCAACAACCACTCTGACTGCCTTACTACTTGACTACTACTCTGACTCTCCTCTAGGTTGGCCAACCGCTCGCCCATATCAGTTCCGTGCAACTAGGCGAGTTCTCACCTCAGACTCCATTGGGATCTCTGGGAAGAGTTTCTGCAGAAGCTGGACTATAGGTCCTTCTGTGCCCCTGCGCACCTCTCCTCCTCCTCCTCCTCCTCCTCCTTTAGTACAGCTTGTGGTACTACCTAATCAACACTGCTCTCTACTACTGACTCTAGCTCTCAAGACTTCAACACTACTCTGACTTCTGCTTCTACACACATCAACACTTTGACTTTACCTCAACACTATTACAAGAAAACTTCAACTCCACTTCGACTTTGCTTCAAGACTACTTCAAAACAACCAAAAGACTCCTCTTAATTTGAACCTACAATTTCTGACTTACGACACAATACTTATTGATCAATATCATCAATATGACTTCCATTCGACCAACAACCCGACTTGCTTCTCGCCTTGGGACTGTTCCTGCAATTCCCTTCAACATAGGCACAACTTCACCTCTCACCCCAACACCATCTCGGCATCGATCTTCATCTGCTCCACCTGCTGCAGATACTTCCCCATTGCCAACTCCCCCACCAAATCAAGAAGATCCTCCTGCCCCATCTGATGAAGATCAGACTGGACAACAGGAAAGTATAGTTACACTAACCCAACAGGTACTTCAACTCCAACGACAACTTCAAGACACCAATATTCAACTTCAAGAAGCTCAACACTCCATGCGTACCAAGGAAAGAGAACTTGAAGCACATCTTCAGGATGTACTTGCCACCACTCAGCAAGATCAAGAGGCTGCACAACAAGAAGTAACTGAACTCCGTGCTGCTCTTCAGCGCCGCAGTGCTTCTGCTCCTTTTGGGACTGATGACCATAATTCCTCTCTCAGACTCAAGGCCTCAGACTTACCAAAGTTTGGTGGTAGAGATAATGAGGATGTGGATCAATGGATCGAGAAAGTATCTGCAATCTTTGAATACTCTGGTGTTCAGGATAAGATTCTTCTTCAACAACTTCCATTGATCCTGGTTGGCAAAGCTTCAACTTGGTTCACACAGCTAGGTTCAATCCGCCGTGCTGCTTTGAACACTTGGGATGCTTGGAAAACCTCTCTTCGTAATGCTTTCTATCTCCCTAATCATAAGCTGACCCTTCGCAGACAATGTCTTTATCGCACCCTCCGTGTGAATGAGACGTTTACTGACTATTTCCAGGACAAAACTAATCTCCAGCGCTATGTGTACCCTCCAACCACCCCAGATGCTGACTTGATTGATGACCTTCTCACAGGTATTCCTGTCAGTATGCACCCACTCATCAAGGCTGGCATTACACCTTTAATGACTTTGGAGGACTTTAGGAGACATCTGATGGACTTGGAACCAGGCTTGCGCCGAGGTAATCAATCACAGTATCGTTCCTCTTCCACATTGAATAATGCTAACATATCTACAGGTCGCTTCAACACTACACAAAATACAACAACAAACTCAACTTCTGGACTACCTCGAGCTTACAACAGCAATCAAACCACATCTATTCCTCGCACTCCATGTGTCTGTGGTGGATATCACTGGAGGCGAGACTGCCCAAACAAAGCTCCCCAAAGTAATCCACTGCAGACACCCCTCCGCCCAACAATCTCTACTCCCCCACCACCCACTCCTAACCCAAACTCTAATCGTTTTCCACCTCAACAAACCTTTCCCAACTCCATTCCCAACAATAATGGTAACAAATGGCAACCTCGAAACAACTCTCGCCCAACCACCAATACTTCAACTCCAGTAGAAGGTGAGACACCATCAGTAAATTCTGTTCAATCGAATGCTTACGATCAGTCCTACCGCCACATCCACATCAAGGCTAAGGACCAGATTGACGGAATGCCAGACCTGCAGGAATTGACATTGCAAGATGCTCACAAAGATAAGACACCAGTCTTTTCTCTTGCAAAGTTGAAGTCAGATGCAGCAAATGTACCCCTACACAGAGTCTGCATTGATTCTGGCTCATCAATATCACTGATGGATGTTAACTATGCTAAACAGTACTTACCCAATGTGAAGACTAACCCTCTTGACAAGTTTGAACTGCGCGGCTTAGGCAGGAGTAATGCTGTTGCATGGATTGAAATTGATCTCAACTTCATCTCAACAGAGCAAGATCATATCATTGTCCCAGTAGCATTCTTTTTGGTGCCTGACTTACTGACAAAAATAATCTTAGGGAATGACATTCTATCACCCATGGGCGCTGTTATCGACCTTGCCAACAACACACTCACTTTCAAAACAATCCCTGGGACCATACCCACCACATGTCGACAGCCAGACCGTCAATTGATTGAAGGCAAGTCTCCTGATAAGACTATTCGACTCAAGGAGACTTATACTTTTCAGCCAGGTTATCAACATAGGGTTGGAATCATTATCACTGATTTGCCTTCAACACCATATTATGTGGTAAATCCTAAATCACTGGGATCTTACTTACATGTTGGAAGATCTGTTGGAAATTCAAAAGCTTCCAACCATTTTGCCCATATCGTTCACCTTGGCGACAAACCTATCACTCTCAAAGCTGGTACAAAGATTGGACAATCCTTCCCGGCTATTCCCGCAACTCTTCCAATATCTCACTCAACCCATCATGACACTCATGACATTACGACACACTTTGATAACAAAACTCACCAAAACAACTTCCCCCTTGACGACTTATCAATCAACCCCTCCCTCTCCAACACTCAACAACAACAACTTGTCCAGGTACTGAAAAACAACTACATGGCTTTTGGCTATGGAGCACGGCAGCTAGGATCAACAACTCTGGCAGAGATGACAATTGATACTGGAGATGCCTCTCCCATCTCGCAAGCCCCCTACCATGCCTCTCCGGCTGGAAGACAAGTAATTGACGAAACTATTGCTGAACTCCTTGAACAAGGTGTCATTGAAGAATCTGACTCACCATGGGCTTCGCCTGCAATACTGGTGAGACAGAAAGGGAAGGATCGGTTTTGCATTGACTTTCGAAAAGTCAATGATGTGACCAAAGCTGATCAATATCCACTTCCTCGTATTGATGACATCCTTACTCATTTTTCAGGAAAGCAATGGTTCAGTACTTTTGATGCCAACAAAGGTTTCCACCAAATACCTATTGCTGAAGAAGACAAACCGAAGTCTGCTTTCAGAACACATCGAGGGCTTCACCAATGGAATCGTATGCCTTTTGGACTGCGAAATGGTCCCCCAGTATTCCAACGCTTCATGGACAAAGTACTTGGCCGCTACAAATGGCAGATTGCTTTGGTCTACATTGACGACATCATCATCTTCAGCGATGACTTTGACACTCATCTTCACGACATTGACACTATCCTCAAACTCATTACAAAATCAGGGATCACACTCAGCCCCACAAAATCACGACTTGCTTTCCAGGAAATAGAAGCACTTGGACATTCTATTAGTAATATTGGAATTGGAACGCTGGAAAAATCAGTAGCAGCAATTAAAGATATGGAACCTCCTACCACCATCAAACAACTACAGCGATATTTAGGTATGTGTACCTATTATTGTCGTTTTGTCCCCAACTTCTCCACCATTGCCTCCCCTCTCCATGCTCTCCTCACTAAGAACACCAAGTACATCTGGACACCTGGATGCCAAAAAGCATTTGAGGAGCTGCGCACTCGCCTCACCACCACCCCCATCCTTGCCCACCCTAATTACTCTAAACCTTTCCTTGTTTACACAGATGCTTCAACAGTTGGTTTAGGTGCTGTTTTGGCTCAAATGGACAACGAAAACAGGGAACACCCCATAGTCTATCTCAGCAGATCACTTACTGCAGCTGAACAAAACTATACAGCTAGTGAACTGGAATGTTTAGGAATTATTTGGGCTGTCACCAAACTCCAACCCTACATTGATGGTGCCAAATTCACACTTATCACCGATCATTCCGCCCTTCAATGGTTACTTGACTTTAAAGGCAACAATCGTAGGCTTTTACGATGGTCAATGGAACTGCAGCCCTACCGCACTAACATGACAATCCGTCATCGGGCTGGCAGACTTCATTCCAATGTTGATTGTCTCTCAAGAGCTCCCCTTCCAACAGTCAACACCGCAACAGAGGATTTAGATATGAACATTGAACCAGTAGTGGATAAAAAACTTTTTGCTTCTCAAGTGGCCTTCTCAAAGGATTTCCTCAAAGAGGTTAAAGACGGATACACACAAGATCCTCGACTTCTCAACATCATCAACACTCTGAAGACAAAGGATCAGACAGCTCTGAATGTGTCACGGCCGTCGAGCAACTTCTTCCTTATAGACCGACGGTCGACGAACCTCGGCTAACTTCACACTTCTGAGTCGATGTCTCACCCAACCAGGAGGGCGCAGACGTCGAAAGGAGTGTAACTACGGCGTACTTCGGCGTAGTTACTCTAACTAAGGCTTTGTTCTATTGATGGCGATGTATCTCGATGTATAGCTATCTCTATTTGTCTTTTACTACTGACAACAATCAAGGATCGCTGAAGAACTTCAGCGATCTTCTCAGCTAATATTATCTACTCCTCCTAGACGTTCATCCAACCCTCTCGCGCTTTGACGTACTTCAACGCACTTCGTCCAACTTCCCCGAGCCCTCGGCCATCCTCTTCCTCCTTCGACTAACTCCGCCTAACATCGCCGCACTTCTGCTCCCATTGTCCCTACTTAGCCTAACTCCGCCTAACATCGCCGCACTTCTGCTCCCATTGTCCCTACTTAGCCTAACATCGCCTAACTTCGCCGTACTTCTGCTCCCATTGTTCCTACTTAGCCTAACTCCGTCTAACCTCGCCGTACTTGGTGTCAGAAGTCCTGAGTTACGTGTAGAGTAAAGAGGTTAAGGCGTGATGGGGTTTTGATGGCCAAAGGAGGGTCATTGTTGGTGGAGTAATCGAGGTGTCACGACGTAGTTCGTGACAGTCGCCCCCTTCTTTAGCCGCGAACGTCCTCGTGAGCGATTACACCTCTGTCGTGGCAAGAGAACTTAGCAGCGTAGTACCCCCATTCTCTCCCTCCCCACGACCAACCTTCACTCTTCTGTTCTTTGCGCCGCACTTCGTAGTTGGGCCTCCTTTCACTCCAGAACCCGACAATGAGACTCCTCTAACTTCGTCGAGGTTTGCCGTAAGAAGCCCTGTGTCTTTTGTAGGTGAGACACGCTTCCTGAATGGCAGCCGAACAACACCGTAGTTTGTCGAAGTAACCCTCGTTTATATTGAGATGAGACACTATAGCGTGGGAATTTTGATCGTCCCTGCGATGCCTTTTGTTGATGAAACGCGAAGGATGCCGCATGTTGACGACGGAGGGGTAACTCGAGTTATACTAAGTACTGAGCAGTTCATCGTCCTTCTCTCTCTTCCCCATCTGTTTTCAAAACTTTCTATCTCTCGCGCTTAGAAAACGGATTTGTTACCTCGACGTATCATCTTTTATTTCTTTAAGTATTTTTAACGTCATGGCCCCTCCTACTCCCACCTCTAACCCTTTCGCCGCCATGAGGAACTTTGGTGGTATGGTGTCGTCTGCTCGTGAGTCTTTCCCCTGTACTTACCGCACTTCGCCGCACTTGGCTGACATTCAGTTTCCTTCGGTGATAGGTCTCGCCAAGTTTCCTCTCTTGGCCTCGGCACTCTTTCCCTGGGGGAACCGTCTGGCGCCGCCTCGCCTCCTCGCTCTGCTTCTCCTCCCGCCAGTCCTCCTGCCGGTTCTCCCGCCCGTTCTCCCTCCGCTTCTCCTCCTGCCGCCAGCCCTCGCCGCAGGACGCCCGCCTTTCGTCCTGGTGAGTCTCCGTCCTCCTCCGACCAGGAGTCGCTCAGTGGTTCGGAGTCGGACGATCAGTCAGACTTCGAAGGAAAAGGGGGTGATTATAGTGATGAGGAGGATCAGGATCGTGAGGGTGAAACTGAGTTAGAAGATATCTCAGATGATGATATGGTGGCGGTTAGTGTAGAGGATAACAATGTTGATAGTCCTGAGTGTGAGTTCTTCGCCCACCCTCCTATACCTTCGCCGAACTTGGCCTTGTTTATCTGTTCTTTAGCTCTCCAAGACATTGCTAACTCGCAGCCGCTCCTGCCCCTCCCCCTGCTCAAATTGTGGGCCAGAAACGACGCCGTTCCCTCTCCTCTTCTTCTTCTTCCTCTTCTTCTTCTTCCTCTTCTTCTTCCTCTTCCGGGGTTCTCCCCCCCCCCGACGCCATCGCCGCTGCCGCCGCTGCTGCCGCCGCCCGCTCTGCCGCCGCCGCCGCCGCCGCCGGTCCTGCTGCCGGTCCTGCTGCCGCCCCCCCCGTCGCTGCTCCCCCCCCTTCTCCCAGAGGGGAGCCTTCGCCCAAACGGGTGAAGAGATCACTGCGGGAAGAAGAGTACTTGTGGGAGAAGATGAAGTCCGAGCCTGGTCGTTGGATCGCGGTTGGTGTTGACGAAGCGTGTGATCGTTGCCGGTGAGTCCACTTATTCGTACTACGCCGAAGTTACTCCTGCTAATTAGTAGACGTGAGATTATCACGTATAATCGTCCAAACTGGCCCTGCCTCAAGGCAGTCAGGCCACACAACAAGGCCCTCCGTTGTGCTTCATGCACGTCTGGCCCCTGCTCCTTCTGTCCCGTTTCCTCTGCCCGGGACATCCCGCCCCGTCCCTTCGACGCTTCTCCTCTCCCCCCTCCCCAGACTCCAGCGTCTGTCCCCCGTTCGCGGGTACCGTCTTCGTCTCTCCGGTCGGTTCGCCGTACTTCGCCGGACCTCCGCCCGTCGCCTCCGTCGCCGTCGCCCTTCGCTCCTGTGGCCGGCCCATCACGTCTCCCGGCTGTTCCTCCTTCGTCTTCTCGCCGTCCTTCGGCCTCTGCTCCTTCGGCCTCCCGTCCTTCGGCCTCTCGTCCTTCGGCGCCACGTCCGTCCTCTCCAGTGGTAGCTTCTCCTCCGGCTCACAGCACCCGAAGTCGGCGTCCTTCTGTTCCTCCGGCCACTTCGGCGGCCCCTCCCGTCACCCCTCCCTCTGCTCCCCAGAAGACACCGAAGTCTTCTTTAAAGAAATCAAAAGGGAAATCTAAAGGGAAGGAGGTTGCCTTCAATGATGGTGATGTGGAAAGTGAAGATACTCAGCGTGCTGGTCCCTCTGCTCCCCGGTTGTCCCTCGTCCACCCTCGTATCTCCCTGGACGTCCGTATTCCTGAGGACGAAAAGGAATTCGCCACTTATCGTTCTCTCGTCCTCGGTCTCACTACTCAGCTCGAGGCCGCCCGAAATGATACATCTCTCCTGCTTGACTTCTCTTCTCGTCAAGCTAACGCTTTAAACAATCTCACTGCGGCGTTAGTAGATGCAGTCAACACTGGGGCTCTGGACGACGGAGCAAGGACGAGGTTAGCGGACGTCTCTCGCCGAAGCCTTACTGAGATAGCCGATGTTCGCCGAAGACTGTTCGACACCCCCTTCCTAGTCACTCCTATGGCGTATGAGCCACCACCGTCCCTTGACTGGTTAGGTCGCCGTAGTAGTTCTCGTGTCCCAGCTTCCGCCCAGACTGCTCTCGACCTCCTCAGTCTTCCCTTCGAGTGTCTACGGACCATACGTTCTCTGTGGAGGACTCCAAGCATGCAAGCTGCTCGAGATGTCCAGGACTTCGGTGACTTCTTCGGGGCTATGAATCGGGCATGGAATGCTTCTCTCTCTACTGTGTTCCCGTCTGAGACTCTCGATCTACCTTCGGTCATCGGTAGCCTCCACACCAATCCCGCGGGACCGAGTAGATCGAAGGAGAAAGGAAAAGGAAAAGGTAAGGGTAAGAGTAAGGACAAGTGAGCGGTACGTAGCTGTAATCCTATGTTGTATGCAGTACGTTCTATCTCCTAGCCCTTCGCAGTCGCCCTTCCTTCGGCTTAGTAGGGTGAAGTTCGTGGAACTTCGCCAATATGTCGTCAGCTCCATCGACGTTCTCCACTGGTTCCCATGATACTGAGTCGTCTGTTCCTTCGTAACCTAACCACTCCACCAAGTACTCTAACTTTCCTGACCTCTTATTTACTCTAGAGTCTACAATGTCTTTTACCTCCCACGATTCCCCTACATTATCTACCTCTACTGGGCCAGGTGGTTCAGCTTGCTGACCAGGGAATACTGGAGGATGATAAGGACGGAGCAAGGAGACATGGAATACGTCATGGATACCTGCCATCGTTCCTGGTAGTTCCAATTTACAAGCATGAGAACCCACCTGCCGTACTACTTTGTACGGCCCACTTTGCTTAACATCTAACTTCTTCATTGGTCTCTTCGTCTTAATATTCTCTAACGACAGCATCACTAGGTCTCCTTCCACGAAGTTCGGCGTAGCCCGGTGTTTCCTATTGTATCCTTCGGCGTACCTCTCATTAGCTTTCTCAATTCCTTCGATACAATCCTTGTGTATTTCAGTCAAGTCTTTTACCATCACCGTAGCAGCGGGTACTTCGACTTCACTGGCCTTGATCTCTTCCGCCCACCGAGGATGATATCCATAGTTCGCATAGAATGGTGTCTTATTAATCGCGGAATGGTGGGTGTTATTGTAGGCGAAACTAGCTCGAGCTAGTAGCTTCGACCAATCGTTCTGCTGATAAGAAGTGAAGATTCGAAGGTAGAGCTCTAAGGATTGGTTGGTTCGTTCAGTCTGTCCATCAGTCTGCGGATGATATGCAGTAGAGAGATGTAGTCTTATCCCGAGACTATCGGTCAAGTTCTTCCAAAATTTCGAGGTAAACTTCGATCCCCTGTCAGACACTATGTTCTCTGGTAGCCCATGCTGAGCTACCACATAGTCCATTATCAACTCGGATAGGCCAGCTGCGGTTAACTTCGTCGTAGTCGGGATAAAAATGGCCCATTTGGTCAACCGGTCCACCACTACTAAGATGGAATTGTATCCATGGGAATTCGGGAGCTCTTCAATGAAATCCATCGAAATGCTGGACCATGGCTTCGTAGCCACTTCCAGTGGTTTAAGCTCTCCATGGGGTCTCTGCCTGTTAGTCTTTGCTCTCTGACACACCGCACATCCAGCGATGTAATCTTCAACATCCTTCCTTACTCCAACCCAAACGTAGTCCCGTAGGACTAGCTCGAGAGTCTTCGCTGAGCCTGGGTGACCCGCTAGGACCGAGTCATGCCGCGTCTTCATTATCTTTAGTCGAGCATCGGCGTAGTTCGGCACATAAGTTCGACCATCGAACGTGAGGAACCCTCTTGAGTTCCATCCCCCACGAAGTATTAAGGGAGACCGCGAGGTACGGCGTAGTTCGGTGACCGACTCTGGTTCCTGCACATCATCATGACATGTCGGATGAGAGCACTTAGCACAGGTTACCCCCAATAATTCTTCTCTAACCTCCTCCACCTCTTCGTCTTCCTGTATTCCAACTATCAAATCTATAGGGTCAATGAGGTCGTTCTCTCGTACTTCCTTTGTTCCTTGTAAAGCCCGAAGCAGGTGTTGTAACCCAGAGCTAGTATCATCAAGTTCGTCGAACTTCGGCAGACCTTGGATAAGGTTGCTCTCTTGCACCATAGTACTTCCTTTCCCTGAGTGGTAGTCTGCTCTTCTCGACAGTCCGTCCGGCAGTGTAGCTTGTTTTCCTGGTCGATACACCATTTTAAACCTGAAGTTAGAGAGCTCTTTGACCCACCTACCCTGCCTGGGGCTAAGTTGTTTAGGTTCCATCCAGTAAGTTAAATTTAAGTGATCTGTGAGAACTGTAGTCTCTACCTGTAGTAGTAAGTGTCTCCTTCTCCTGAAAGCTTCAACGATAGCGAGTAATTCCTTTTCGCCTACCGTGTAGTTTAACTGCGCCGCCTGGAACGCTCCGGACTCGATAGCCACCGGGTGTTCTTGCCCCAACTCGTTCACCTGCGAAATTATGAATCCCCAGCCGAAGAACGACGCATCTGTTTGTAGTAGCGTCTTCAACGAAGGGTCAAAGTGAGCCAATACTGGCGCCCTACACATCCTATCCTTCAATTCTTTAAAGGCTCTTTCCTGCTCTACTCCCCAAACAAACGGCACATCTTTCCTGGTGAGGTCATTGATCGGTTTAGCAATCTTGGAGAAGTTGGGGACAAAACGCCGATAATAACTGACAACTCCCATAAATCCCCTACTCTCTCGCAAGTTCTTAGGACGGGGAAAAGATACGACAGCATCGATGTAATCCGGGTTACTGGAAATTCCACTCTGTGAAACCACGAACCCCAGGAAGACTACCGAATCTCTCTCAAACTCGCACTTACTGGCTTTAACGAACAAATTCGACCTCCGAAGCACTTCAAACACCTTCGCCGTAGTTCCCCTCAGTTCTTCCAACGTTTGACCGTAGATGAGTATATCATCTATGTAGACTACTACTCCCTTTCCCAGCAGCTCTCGAAAACTTTCATTCAAGAAGTGCTGAAACACAGCGGGAGCATTCCGTAGGCCATCTCGGACAACAAGAGACTCGAACATACCGTACTGCGTCCTGAACGCTGTCAGGTGTTCATGACCTTCCTTTACTCGTAGGAGTTGATAAGCCCCAATTAGGTCTAACTTGCTGAAGTACCTCGCTCTTCCCAGCTCTTCGGTTATCTGGCCGATCAGAGGCAGAGGATAGGCGTCGGGTATCGTTGCCTCGTTTAACTTTCGGTAGTCAATGACCATTCACCATTGACCTTTTGCCTTCTTCGGTACCAAGAACATCGGTGATCCGTAGGGCGAATTACTGGGTCGAATTCTTCCGGCCGACATTTCGCGATCTAGGATGTCTCTCAGCGCACTTCTCTGATCTTCTCCAAGCGAGTAGAGTGGAGCAACCTTCAGGTTCGCCCCCTCCTTAAGATCAAACTCCAAATCATAGCTCCTCGAGGGAGGTAATTCCTCACCTCCCTTCCTTGGGTTAAAGACATCAATGAACGAGTGGTATTGTTCGGGAACCACCTGATACAATTCCTCCTGTTCCTCCGGACTCAGTTCATCCTGATCATCTTTGTCTCGGAGATCTATCGCGTCCGTCGGAGTTGGCAGACCTATGGCCGCTAACTTCGCCGCACTTGGTGGGGTTGGGATGGGAAATTTCACCGAGTTGTCTCTTCCATCAAGGACAACCCCTTCCTTCCTCATCCAATCCCACCCTATCACAACATCTGCGTCGCAGAGCGTTGTTACATCGAGACAAACAGATCGCACTTCGGCGTCCTTCGTCAAACTAAATCCGACTTCGACAAACTCGGTGATGGGTCCAGCGACACTCACCGAGCCGTCGAACATGTGAACGGGTACGCTCACCTGATATCGCCTCTTTTCTACACCTATCTTCGCTGCTGCCCTAGGGCTTATATATGAACAAGTAGCTCCAGTGTCCCAGAGCGTAGTTAGCTTTATTCCATTAATGAAAATGTCCGATTTAGGTTGATCTCTGGAAACGGAAGGGATGAGGAGATGATTATCGACATTGCATGAACAAGGGGTACTGAGTGGTGTATTTTTGTATTCACAATCCTCTGGCTCCATCAGCTGTGTTTCTTTTATGGGTTTGGGAATGGTGGCCGAGAGAATATGGCGGACCCGCCGAGCCTCGCCTACTGCGACAGGTCCTCTTCTTTTCCCTGGTCCTCTTCCAAATCTACTTCTCCTCCAACCGCATTCAAGTTCCTCCTCTGTCCGAGAGGTACTGCGTTCCCTCCCGATCCTCCACCACGTTCTCCGAACTTCTCCCCCCATGGAGGCAACAGTCCAACCTTAACCTTAGCCTCCCTTACAGGGCATTCCTTCAGCCAATGTCCTGCTTCACCACACTCGGTACACTTCCCCTCCTTCCTCCTTGTCTCCCTCAGATCGGAGCTCGGCCTAGGCCATCTTCGGCGAACTTCGTCGATGTTTGGCGGTGTACTCTTTACCACCGTCGACATCATAGCCGCCTGGACACCACCCTGCGCCGAAGGTTGCCCCTTTTCCCATTTCTTCTCTTCTTTCTTCTCCGTCCTCTGACTTTCCACCACTGTCGTTGTCCTTATCCCTCCTTCCCTTTTCCTCTCTGCCTCCTTCTCCACTTGTCTCCTCCACAGGCGGTTGTCCAAGGGAATCACAAACTCCAATAGCTCTTTCACAGTCCCAAACGATCTACCGTGTCTTGCAATTTCATCTAGAAGGTGCGATTTTAGTCCTTTC